AATGTTCAGCAGTGATGTATGTTACACTCACAACATTTACTGCGTACGTACTACACAATTTATTTCTGAAGGATATCAATTATCACACTAAATGACTATTATAGGTGAAATGTCATAACAAGATAGTGTATGTAAAGTCTAGACTGAACTTGGCTTAACTTGCACCAACTTTCCTATGATCCGTTATATTTGAAACATTTTTTTTTTCGTTTTATTTTTGTGCTATTTTGAAAAATGAATCGATTCAAAAGATCGATTAAAAAAAATCGATTCAAAATGATTGATTAAATCGGTGAATCGATTATTTTCAAAAAAATGTGTGGGTTCGAAAAAATATCGCTGTGCTCAGAAAACGAAGCTTTTTCAGATGATGTATAAAAAACGATACATTTTTCAAAATTAAAGAATCTAATTCTTTATTTAAGAGATTTTTAGCCGAAGGCTAGTTCATCTCTCCCAGGCTGAAAGCCTCCCTAATAAAGATAAATAATAATAATAGTTCATCTCTGGCGATCTGAGTGTGAATCAATCGATATAACTGTTTCCGCACATCGAAGGTGCGTGAGCAAATCAGCGATCATCTCTTTTGCCAGTGGCGGGGGGAGGGGGATACCCCTCACCATCCCTCCCCTTGTATTAAATTATCTAAGCTACAACTTTGCTCAAGACCACTTTTCTTTTAAATGTACACACTTAATTCAGATCACCGAAGTCTGTAGAATTTTATGGGATTTTGAACAGCAGAACAAGTTGGTAAAATGTTTAAATGACCGTTACACTTGAAAAATCAATTGACATATTTTATTTTTTATAAATAAATGGGGTTAACAGAACAAAATCTGTACAAGTTCGGAATAAATTTACTATGCATTGGGTTTCTCACCAATTTTTAAACTTTTATCGAACAGTTCTGTACTTCAAAATTTGCCAAACGGCAGAGGTCTGGATTAGTGTGTAAAGAACAAAATTTAATATTGGTTCAAGGCGCCGACGTTCCCCCGTCTCGATGATTCTCATCGTCGCCCACTGGTCACCATAGCCGGTCGAACTCCAGACGAAGCTAGAACAGCACTACCATTCATACTGGCGACAACGCTCTGATGAGACAACGAAACCCTACCCCAAGCTCCTCCCCTGATCCTATCCTTCAACAATGTACCCCTCTAACCTCGAGTAAGCCGCGAGTAATCGGCCCAACTCCTACTAGACATAGAATTAAGTGAATTTTGTTACAAACAGTGAACAATGAATTATCGGCTCCGTAAAGCTAACGCGATTGAGCCTTCCAAATAAACGAAATGGATAAAAAAAAGGCGCCGACGTCTTATGATCATGCTTAATCAACTGCTCAGTAGGCAACATTAGTGTTTCTGGCGCGTGAAATAGAGCACAAAAATCATGGCTACTATGTCACACTGCACAATAGTTACAGTTAGAGAGGGTCTAGTATAAGATAGGGGTGGATTCAAAACAAACTGCCTTGGCAACCTATGCCTAGATGATTTCTTGCAACACTGCCAATGCAATCAAGATAGGCGCTGCTCGATTGGCTCTGGCTTTGACAGTTCGTTTGGCTCAAAACCAGCCAGTCCGCTCCTCTCTTATACTAGACCCTCACTAGTTACAGTGAGGACCCTATTTGAAATCGTTTGAGCACCGTGGAGCGCATATTTTTAAACTTTGCATAAGTCTAGTGACTAGGCTATGCTGCAATATACCAATATTGACATCACATAAGAAATGTAGGGGAAAGTAGTCGACAGTAAGACAGTTTTTATTCAACATTTTTTTCTATTTTTCGATGAAAGCTACGAACAAGCCCTTGGCTCCATTCGAAAGGTATGGGTTTCTAGTTAAATTAAAAAAAAAATGGATTAGGTCACGCTTTTAAAGGGGAGGAGGGGTTTGAAACCATGACGATTAATACAAAAAAATAAGATACATTCAAAAAACGTGACAAAGGGTAAGAATGGTACTTTTGCGTGATATTACTATGCGATAGTAATAAGTAATCTGAATTTAGATTAAATATGCATTTTGTTGTTGAAATTGACTTGAAATTGATTGCAGCGGAATGACGTCTGTGCGGCTGTTTGCATGTAATATTAAAAAAAAAAATTCTGTGTAGTAGTAGTTTTGAATTGAATTCCAAGTTGAGTTACCTCTATGGTTCTACTGAGCAGAGTCCATGGGGATGAGGAAGAGTGTTCCATCAGAATTTCGAGTAATATTTCAACAGAGTTTTGAGGAAAACTCCAGAAACATCCTACACGGATAGAAATCTCCTTATACCTTTTGGCAAATTTCTATTGATGATTATTCATAAAATGTATAAGACAACTTATAAGCAGACTCCTTGCAAAAAGTTAATGAAGATTATGTGTCAAATGGAATGTATAAGCGGTCACACATACCTTTTATGCATTCTATATGACCTATGTGGTTTGTCTTATGGAATGTATAAGGCTGATGTTTTGGCAAAAATTTATAAGTGAAACACATGAATAAAATAATTAATTTTCGTTTCGTGTAGGCAAAATTTCAACTGAATTTCGATAAGATCTCAAAGGTACTAGGATAGTTCCAACGGTATTCTTATGAGATTAAAATTTAGAGGATAGATTCAAGGGAATTATTATGAAGGGAGCAGGGATGGAAAATCATTCTTAGAAGAATGTTAGCAAACTTTTGGAAGAATTCTTAGGAAGTTTTTTTTTTATAATGCTAAGGGAATGGCAGAAGGAATGCCTAAGAAATTTTCAATTGCATTTAATTATATTTCTGAAAGCATTCCAATGAACTTTTTGTGGAGGATTCATGCAAATTATGAAAGTGCACTGAACATTCAGAGGAGACTTTCTATAGAATTTAGATGAGAATTCTGAGCACAATTCCAAGGAAATTCTACGGAAAATATCTTAGTTATTCTCAAGGATACTAAGGAAATTCTGAGGTTTTTTGCAAGGCCATTGCAAGGTTTTCTGAGAATGACTGGGAATAGAAAGAGAACTGCCACAGTCTATTTGAAAAGCTGGTGCTTAATTATATCAATTTAAAACGGGGAGTCAACTCATACAAATCATCATGTTATTTTGTTTTGTTACTTGTCATTTTTTGTTAATACTCATAGTAAGTGTTCCATAGAGATCTCAAAGCGCAATCTCATGATCACTAAAATCCAACATCCATATATAAAAATGAAGAAGAATAAGAATAAGAAGAATAACCAAAAAGGTATCGCGATATCACAACTACTTAAAAAGGTAGCGCGCGGTCTAACGCACACTTTTGTACATCTGGAGAACTCTATATAGACTTCTATTACGTTAGTGAATGCCTAAAATTAGTGCAGAGCTTTGAGTGAATTATAACTATAAGTGCAAGAAAACCGTGATTTCTCTGAATGCCTAAGCACAGACAAACAGACATAAAACATTGAATATTTCTCACTGTAAAACATCGTTGCTAAAACATAACCGCCATCTGTTGAGTACACTGTGGTACATAGAGGTAACTCTAAAGGGTCACCTAAATTAGATCCGTTTGCGTTGCGTTGACGTAAATTTGACAGTTAAACAATAGATTTAGCTGTCACTTTAGCGCAACGCGTCCAACCGGATCTAATGTGCGTGGACCTTAAGACTAGTAGGTCCCGAAGAATCGTTCTCAACTTTTTGGCTCAGCTCTGGTACTATCTTCGGTCCCAACCTAATCGATTCACCCCTCGAAATCCACTAAACCCTCATTTTATCTGTCAAACTTTCATAGCGAATCAAAACAAACATTGTGTAGTACTAGAATTTTGACTAGAATGGGCTACGTTAATCGAATTGCTTTGGACCCATAGGTTACTCAAGTAGTGAGCCAATTTAAAATCGATTTCGTATTGATTGTTGGTAGTGCACTGAACAGATGGAGGTAGTGTGTAAACGTTAAACTAAAGGGAAATGACTATGCGTGCCACAGGTGGTGGAACTACTAACTACGATACTTTTAAATTGACCGTTAAATGCTTGTTCAATGAACAACTTGCTAGAGTTATGTCTGTTTGTCTGTGGCCCAAGTATTAGTGCACCGTGTAGATATACGAACTTATATCTATAATTTACCCAAAGTTCTGCACTAATACTTGGGCATTCACAAACATCCGAGAAGTCTAAACCGGTTCCGGTGAAGTCTATATAGAGTTCTCCAGATGCACAAAAGTGTGCGTGAGACCGCGCGCTACCTTTTTTTCCTCTGTTCGGGACCTAACACTACTGCGACCAGTAAATTGATCTATTGTAGTATATCCCGTGTCCTTAGTTTAGTGCATGTCGTATTACTCCATCACTATTGAGAAATGATGAAGTATTCGATTTTTTTTATAGTTGCAACTCTTGCATTTATCGCAAGGATCTGACTCTAATTGAAAGGTCCCGCTATTTATACCCTTCGGAGTGTTGAAACATCCTCCAAAGGCGCGCCCCTTTGTCAGTCAAAATTGGATTCCTTAGCAACAAAATTAAGGTATGACACCGATAATGACCATGCATCAGAACCCTAGTCTTAACCACTTCAAACTAGGGAACAACGAATAGAAGATTAGGAATCACATAGATGAAGACAACTAACTCATTTTTTTCCTTGTTTCAAGATCATCCTCGGTAGACAAAGCCGAGTCTTGTCACTATCAACAAGGCATAAAAAGTAACAAGGACTAAGATGTGTTCCTTGGATTACTGAAAAATCCTGTTCCCCTAGTTTGAAGTAGTCAGGACTAGGAATCGGTGGTAGATCTTATATCCCGTAACGTACCACGAAAAGGTGATCTACCCACGTTACGGGGCACTACCTTTGTAAGTAGTTGACATTCAAATGAAATTTGCATGAAACGGTTCAGCGGAAACCGTAATTTTTCTGATTATAAGCGGCCAGTGGCCTATACAGGATCTTAGATCGACTTTTGGGACACCAACGCCTAACGATGGTTAAAGTTCTACTTGAAATATGTAACTCACCGAATTACTTCCCTGAAGACTGCGATTTCTACTAACGCTTCGGGCTCTACCAATGGAACCCATTGGAGATGGTATTTTACTTGGGCTGATGGGTGGCTTTGCCGCTGTTGGGCTCGTATATTGCCTAATACTTCCTCGTCGAGTGAATTCGCCATAATTTGTTGCACCACACTCGTTTCCGAAAACTTGCTTAAGCAATGGATCACTATTGCTACTGTTGTTCAAAAGCCGTTCAACCTGTTTTCGATGTAAATGATGGCGATCCAAGTTGTCCCCAAACTCTTGATACTTTTTCGTGTCGTAATAATCACTTTTTGTCATGTCAATATCGAAATCGTAGCCAAATTGATTCCTATTATCGAACTCGTAGCTTCTAACCATCTGAGAATTGTTGTTGCTAGTAGCATTGTTGGGAGCGGGGTTCTTTGAATATTCCCGCGCGTTTTTGGCCCATTCTTGAATCCAGTCTTTTTTACTAACGGCTGATCCTATAGCAGATGCATCAGAACCTGCTTTACGCCTTGGATGATCGTACTTTGTGTTCAAGTCGGATAGCCCTGTGGCTTTCTCAGAATCAGTATAGCAGTTGAGAATTTTAGCCTCTTCTTCATTTTTATGAATGTTCAACTTTGCTACGCCCTGCACATACTCAGAACTATCGATGTGAGATTTTGTCAGACTGTTGCGCCGATGCATATGAGGATGATTTTCCAGTGAAGGTTTAACACTCAATATTCCACTTGTTGTGACGGAAGTAAATGTTCCTTGATCCGGAGAATTCATTTGCTGCGGTAAAATCTGTTTATCCGGAGATTTTCCTTTGTGGGTAATATTCTTAACACGTGACTTCAACTTTTCTAGATATGATTGTTTCGGTTTTGTAGTTTGCGCCGATGATGACTCGTGAAAGTAAACTACCTCCAGAACATTATTATTCCGTCTCTCATTAGATGCTATGCCAGAACACGGTCGATCTAAGTCGATGATTTCTAAATCTTCTTGAAAACTAGTTGGTCGTTGCGGGTGTCCTATACCCGTTCCCAACGTGAAAAGGGGCTTCGGTGTTAATTCCGGAGTAAAGGGAGGCATGCGGTCAATATTCATCCGCTCTTTCTGTTCCTCCGTATAATTATCACCATCCAATGTATAAGTTCCCGCTTCACTGACGCTATCATCATCGTCATTATCTTTCTTGAAATTTTCTAAAGGAGGCTCAATACACGGAAGACCTATTGAAGAATCCAAACTTTCAACGTTGAATTCTGAACTTGAACATGAATCTTTCATAATATTTTGCTGATCGAAAGCCATCTGCAGTGCTGTAGATCTTGGCGTAAATCTGTTGGTTTTTACTTTTGCTGCCGGTTCTTTTGCACCTGTTTCAGTCATACTGGATCGGGGGCTCCAGCTATGTCTTTTGCTAATAGAGTCTTTTGAAGCGTTGCTTTTATCTCGTAATCTTACTGCAGTATCTTGAATTTCCGGTTGTTCTATTCTATTTTTTCTAGGTAAATTTACGCTTTGAGGAGGCTTCATTTTTCCTACCGGAGGAGTTGAGCCACTTTCTAATTTAGACAAGGAAACACCTCGTTTGTGTCGGTTTTGAAAACGCTCAAGCATTTTCTCGTGACGTTGAGTATCAACAGACTTACGGCCCTCGTTGAATTCGATCGTAAATGCAAGAGCATTGCGGACATCCGGATCCTCACTGGCACTACGTTGGATCTTCTCAATTTCCTGCATCGACACGCTTTTATTTACATTATTGTTATCACTCGTTCCGCTATTGAAACTACCGTTGTTATATTGCATTTTTTCCTCTTCTGCATCTTCTTTCTCCGCAACTGGCTTTGAAATTCGGTCATCCAGCGGAGAGCTATCACTCTTTTTTGAATTTTCTGGACTGAGATCAAATTTTTCAGACTCTGCTTCACATTCCATTTCCGTAGAATTTCTATCCAAACTTTTATCGATATTGCACTTGAGTTCTTCAATGTGATCCATTGCTGGCGAATACTGTTCAGACGAAACTACATGTTCCCAATTTTTTAACACTTTCTACTGTGCCCAAAAGAGGTTTGAGACTGATGTCATTATTTCGTGTTTCATATTTACGTTAGTCATTGAACACCATACGAACAGAGGCTCAGCCCCTTTGCTGCTATGTGTGTGAGGCCAGACAAGTATATTTTTCACCTTCGCTATCACTGGTTTTATTCCTACTATATTTATTTTGGTACTGAAAATCACTTTTTATTTTTGGCAATTCATGATCATAATCCTCTGATTCATCTTGATGTCACGAAAACGTACATATGAAATGGTAGTGTTAATTTCTGACCTCCGTTATACACAATTTTGCATAGCCTTGCCCTCTTTGCTATGTTTTACTAAATCTGATACCAAAACAATCTCACCCACGAAGTGTCATAAAAATGTCCAACAAAAAACATATATCCGAAACATTGTCAGTCACAAGCACCAACAAAATTATTCTTCAGCACCAATGAAGTAAGGTTCACTTCAGTTTCTGCTAAACTATCACTCCAATATTACGCGATCCTGTGGTACTTGCGATCAAAACTATAAAAGAGAATGATAGTAATACACCTCGAAGTTTCAACTTTTCGAGTCTTTCATATTTTCTTTTTGTCAGTCTTCTTTCATTGAATTGTCAGTTCGGAGTTGTACCAATGAATGTGTATGACATGTACCAATTGAAAGGTGAGGTGCTATACATAAGTATTGATTGAAATAATATGACGTCATAATGTTTGGGGTTAAAATATAATATAATATTGAATAGGTCAGCCGGGCACTAAAATTTGCATTTTTTTCAAAGAAAGCGAATTATGTGTCTATGCATAGAGGATGCTGAGTCATTAGCCTGAATGTTATTAGGCCGAATGGTCACTAGACCGAATTTTGGAAGAAGATGTTGATCTGAAAAAGACTCGATATTGACTACAAAGTAAGCATTTTCGAGGGAGACTGGAACTACCCATTAAATGAGTAAAAATATTACCCATTTATAAGTATTTGTTACTCAAAAATGAATACTTACTACTTATTTTTGTAGTAGTAATTACTCATAAATGGGTAAAATTTTACTCATTTAATGGGTAGTCCCAGTTTCCCTCGAAAATGCTTCCTTGTAGTCATTATTGGGTATTTTGCGGTTACCGTGTAGTGAGTCAATTTCAAATCGAAAGTTTCGTATTGATTGTTGGTATAACCCCCAAGTACCCATTAATGAGTAAAAAAGTACCCATTTCGAAGAAAAGTGGCTTAACTCATGAAATGAGTAAAGCCAACTTTACTCATTAATGAGTATTTGACGAATCCCGACCAACCATTTCGTTAATTTTCTTTAATTTTCTATACATCGATCTTCAAAGCCATTCATAAGAAAAATCGATAGCGATCGTCACCATTTCATGAATAATTGTAAAGATGCTAAAAGTCTAATCGTGAATCGTTTATAAAGATCTTTCTCAAAATATTGCTACCAATCGTTACCAATGTTAAAATATCTATTGTGTTGTCAGATCAAAATATCGATTTCTGTTGTAAAATCAAAATATCGATACTCAACTGCTGATTTTATTTGTGATTTTTTTATCTGCATAATTTCTAGTTTCGATCCCATGCCATCTGGGGTGTACTGATTTCGTTGTTGGTTGCTAATCCTCGGGTCCACGGCTGCTGTTGATGAGCTTATCAACGACAGGCAAACACACTCTAGTATGTGGTGTATTGAAATTTCTGTAAATCTTTTCATACATGAATTCAATATTTTTTTTTTTTTTCTTTTTTTTTTCCTTTATTTACAAGGCTTTCAGCCATTGGCTGGTTCGCCTTGGTGAATTCAATATTTATTTGGCATAACCATCAACCAGTCAGCCATGTAGGTGTAATAGAGGTCAAAAAGGTATCAATTTTTCTCATTGGGTCCAAATGCCGAGAATCCCACCACGCATGCTATCACGGTTTATTAAATATATAGACGTAAACTTGAAGAACTACAATGGTAAACATTTGCTGCGTCGCGGCCATCGATCTTCTCGTTCATTTACCGGCAGATTGCTTCTTCCGATGAAATGCCGAATATGTCGATAAATAATATAAACATTGCCATCTGTCACCTGGTGTGTCTCGAACTCTCTTTAACCAGCGATACAAATCGATAACAAGGTGATTATAAATGTGCATCGATAGCAATCTTTGTTGTTCTTCGTCAAAGTTCAAAGCTACGATGATATCAGTATTTAAATATTTATTGATGAATATTTGTAAAGAATACTAAAGTCCATGTGACATATCGAAATTAAAAGAAATTTAGTATGGCACCTTTAAAGATTACTATCATATGACCGATGAAGAAATAATCTTAAATGTAAGTATCGATCAATAAAGATTTTTAAATGTGTACATCGAAATCATAGAAAATTTAAAGTAAAGAATTGCCGACATTAATCTTTATTTTTGTATTAAGAACTTTGAAGAAGATTCACGAACGGTTGGTCGGAAAAATGGGTAATTTTGAATCATCGTACTTTTTAGGGCTCATTAGCATCAATCATAAATACGTCAAAATTCAATTTAAAATAGATTAGGTTACTTTATTAAAGAGGCTCACTACTTGACTAGCCTATTGGTCCCAAGAAAATCGACTAACGTACCCCATTCTAGTATAAATTCCAGTACTACACTATGTTTGTTTTGATTCGCTATGACAGTTTGACAGATAAAATGAGGGGTTCGTGGATTTTCCTGTGTTTCGAGGGGTGCATCGATTAGCTTGGGACCGAAGATAGTACCAGGGCTGAGCTAAAAGTTGAGCTCGTTTATTCGGGATTTTCTGGTCCTAGAGTTACCTCTGTGCTTATACATTACATAAGACAAACCACATAGGTCCTATAAGAATACATAAAAAGTATGTGTGACCGCTTATACATTTCATTTGAAACATGATCTTCATTAACTTTTTGCAAGGCGTCTGCTTATTAGTTGACTGATACATTTTATGAATAATCAGCAATAGAAATTTGCCAAAAGGTATTGCTGATTGCATCTGAAACTGGTCTGTCCCAAAAATGCAAAAAGTGTGATAAAAGTGCACGTTTCCGTCAAATCGTTTTGATGTCTTCGGAGCACTTATTGCTTGCATCATAAGGAATAAGTGCACCGAAAACACCAAGACGATTAGACGTAATCACACTTTTTAATAAGTGAAAACGCGTTTATTAGTCCAATTTTGTGTGAAACGCGCAATATACACAGCAAAAAAAAAGTAATATGCATCAACGTAATTCACATGATGTACAACAAAACAGATGTAATCAAGTAAAGTAGATGTATAATAACATCCATTTGGATGTCATATTTTGCTCTTTAAATTACACCGAAACAAAATTACCATTGTCCATTATGTTGCATCTGTGTAATATTCACATATCAATAACATAATTATTACACAGAATCAGATGCAACCAAGTCATTCCAAAATAGTTGTGTAATATTACACAAAATTTGTGTAATATCATATAATGTTGATGCTATATTAAATCTCGCAACACTGTAAGACTTCGTTCTAGATGATCGGGAGTGAATGTACTCCACGCATTGCCAGAGGAAGCAGCAACCTGTGAGTTGAAATAATTTTTTCAAATTTTAGTTGATTTATTGACGATTTCGCTTTTATCTTTGCAGAACATCCGCGACGAGATTTTTTCATTGCCTTCAACCAGACGGTTAACTAAGCAGAGACGCCATACTTTCTGGGAACCCTCAATGCCGACCAATATTGTTAGTGCTTCACGCAGTGCCGAAGGAAGTCCATCCAGCTAGCTGTACCTTCTACTTGACCCGAATTCAGTAGGAATGCTGATTGTCCATGGTCCATGGCTCCTACCACCCGGTGGTCAGCCCTTCAACACGGCGGAGACTAGTCGTTATGCTTTCTGGAAGTCTTTCATGCCGATCAACATTGCGCAGTACTCCACGCAGTACCAGAGGAAGCCGTAATCTGTAACTGAGTAACTGCAGTTTTTACAACTGATTAAAATTTATGTGAGAAAAAAGATAGCAAAGCAATTTAATCAACCACGTATACGTATATACATCGTTTTTTCCTCGGTTTTTTCTTTACATCGCATCACTATTACATCGCTTCGTTTACTTACATCGCTTCGTTTACTTACATCTCATCTGTGTACATCACATATATTACGTCAGAAAAATTACATCGGTTTTGTGTGTCACATCATTTGATTCTGTGTACATCGTACAATGTGATATTACACAACCGATGGATTGACCTGGTTGCAGCAGTTTCGATGTAATATTCAACAACTTTTTTTGCTGTGTATAAGGAGATTTCTATCCGTGAGCGCAGTTTTGTTATCCTCCAAGTTCCATCCTCCAAGGAATTTGTACTAAAGGTTTAGTACGATTAGTTATCCTCCCGTTCCTCCCATTCCATCCTCCATTCCATTCCATTCCATCCTCCGTGTACACTCTCAGCTACACCGAAAATAATTTTCTTGTAACTTCCATTGGAAACGCACATGATTTTCATCCATAATACATAATACATTTATGCGATCACATTAATTTTACATGATTTTTCATATTAATTTCATCGGCCTCATAATATTCATGTGATTTTGTGGTGGGATTTGCTGCTATGTGATCACAGGAAAGTTATGTGAAATTCACATGGATTCCATCCATTAGATATGTGATAAATTTTTTGAGTGTACGTTTCCCTTCCCACATACAGCGGGCGAGTTGCCAGCAGCGCGCCCACGGACCGCCCAGCGGACTTGGGCGGAGCGCCCCCTCAGCGCTATTTGGTCAACCTTTGCGCGCCCCCACGGCGCCTGCGCTCATTTTTGCAACATTTGAGCGCTTGAGACGAAAACGATACCTGTCAAAAAACTGATCGTTTCGGCCATTTTGTCCGCCCCCATACGCCCCGGCGCACTCCCTGGTGATTCACCACCATTTTCTTTTTCAACAGTTGAAGCATAAACGCGACTTCATCAATAAACTTAATATATCATATTCTTATAACTAACATAGGGAAATGGATGTAATGTCGGTCTAAATGCCCCTTATTTGGGCCCATACATAAATTCAGCAATCGACTAAATTTTCAAAAGCGACCAAAAATATCCATTAGTACCGTCCCAATGACGCGTTCATCTAGATAAAATTGATAAATAGCCGATTTTTAGCGATGAGACCAATCTCTTATAGCACTTTCAGACTACAGAGCGCTATCTTGATGGTGGTTTCTGTGTTGCAATCATTTGAAAATAGTTATAACCAGTCTTGTAAAACGCTGTCCAGACTGGAGAGTTATAACATGTTATAACGGTTGTCAAATAATTGCAACACAGAAACCACCATCAAGATAGCGCTATAACATGTTATAACTCTGTAGTCTGAACGTACTATAAGCGGTCACGGTAGTCGACACATTTTCTATGATAATAGACTGCCTTTGCCTCCGACACTTGCAAAACAAGCTATCATAGTATAGTACGAAACTAAAATGTAATATGACAGGCTCTGTCATACGACACTGTCGTCGAAGACCGTCACGTATGTATGTATTTTAGTTTTTCTCATATTAAGAGCTGCTGATGTTGTACTTGTGTGAATTCTGAAAATAGCAAGTAATGATGTCCTAGAAAAAATATTTCTGATCAGAAATGGTTTGATTTACACCAAATTGAGGAATTACAACGAAATCACGCATGTCATATGATAGCTATTTTGATAATTTTCTTTTAGCTAGAATGTTATTCTACCGCTCGTGTTGCGTGAGAGAGACGACGGTAGAGCATGAGTGTTCGAATACAAACAGACTGTCGCGCACGACAACGGAGCAAGTGTAGTAAAAAACGTCAACTGTTTCAACCCCTGGTTATAACTCTCCAGTCTGAACTAGGCATTAGATCCATATATAGGCCAATATTAGAGCCATTTCCAATATATATATTTTTTTATTAAATAGATTTTAATCTAACCTAACAATAATATTAAGTCTACCCCGTCATGGGAAAAATCAAAATACATGATAATTCAATTACTTGTTCAATGGAACTCAAATTTAGTTCCAAGAACCACCTTTGCCACATCGGGACACATTCAGGGTGTCCCGGGGTACCCTAATAAAAATTGTATGGTTAATTTGCTTAACGACGTGTTCTGGGTATCATCCAAACCATTTGTGGAATAGTTCAATGATTTGGGTTATCGTTCGTTTATGGTTATTTTTTATTAGGGTATGCAGCCAGCATCTGATAAGAAACAAAATCATCATGCGACACATCAAATTACATGAGATTTCAATTGCTATATCAGCTCATATTCCCGGGATGTTGCCGTTAGTCCCCGTTTCATGAGTTGATGGGTCGATAGGTAGGGTCCAGTTGTGGGAGCTGTCTCCCTGGCGTCGGTATAGCATTTGTACTCAGTCACTAATGTTAATTATGACGTTGGACGTAATGTGTCCCACACGCGCATTCCGATTTGGTTGGTGCGTGACAATATAAATAAATTCAATTTTTGAAATTGAAACTTATTGTTTTCACTTTTCCGGTGTGCAATAATTTCTGTGAGAGCTTTTACTACAGTGTATTTTGTTTCCTCTTGTTTGAAAACAAACCAATTCCGAAAATTTTCATGCAAACGCTGTGAACTGTCAAGTCAAGTGTCAAAACCACCATCAACTTCCGGGAGCGAACTGTCGACTTTCCTTTCGCTCTTTTTCCGTCATCTAGCTACGGCTGTTGAAACACATTTCGTAAAGTTTGCGAAAAATTTAATGTAAGTTTGCTTTAATTTATCACAAATTGATTACTTCGTTAAAGTCAATAAACCAACAGTTAGATTTGCACAACTAGTTATTGAATTTGTAAGGGATAAGAGACTTTAAACTAAATTTGTTTACTGTATTTTAACCTCCCCTTCTTTTTGACGGTGTTTTGATACTCATCGGACTAATCTACTGTTTTTTGATTTTCAGAAACATGTCGGATGTCGAAGTGTAAGTAAACTGATTTTGTTCGAAAGAAGCGTTTGCAATAATAAGGAAAATAATGTTTTCAGTGAAGTCCCGGTCGCTCCAGTCGACGGAACGATGGACGTCAACACAGCTCTGCAGGAAGTGCTCAAGAAGTCCCTGATTGCCGATGGATTGGTGCACGGTATCCATGAAGCCTGCAAAGCCCTGGACAAACGCCAAGCTGTTCTCTGCATCCTGGCCGAAAGCTGTGACGAACCACAGTACAAGAAACTCGTCACGGCTCTATGTAACGAGCACCAGATTCCATTGATTCGTGTTGATTCCAACAAGAAGCTTGGTGAGTGGTCCGGGCTGTGCAAGATCGACAAAGAAGGCAAACCCCGCAAGATCTGCGGTGCTTCTTGCGTAGTATTGAAGGTAATTTTCTGTAACCTACTGAAGTTTATTGAGTTCTTAATGGGTTTTGTACTTCGCAATTCGTAGGCTTACGGTGAGGAAACCCCAGCCCATGATGTCATCCGAGAGCATCTCAAGCAGTTGAGGCAATCAAGCTAAACAAAATAAGTAATCGCAAGAGTGTTTATTGAAGAATACATAACGTGAAAATCCAGTAATTTCTAAGTAAGTGATTTACAATGTTTTGAAATGATGACATAGTTCCTTGTGTTTCACCCAGTCAGCAACTTGGCAATCGCTGTAAATAACGAAAGTGAAATGTTTGTAAATCCGCGAACTTCTGCTTATGGTATAATTACTTACCGTGAACAATAGTATGTAGATTCACACCTAGAACATTTTTTCTCGGATAGTTTCCCGCATGTGAAGCACATCTTCTGAGCGTTTCTTCGGTCTAGTTCTGTGAATTTTTCCAATATATCTGTGTTGTACGATGCGGCTAATCTGAAAGAATTGAATCCGTCAAAGTTTGCCGGTTGACTCTATGAGCTCGGTGATATTGAGTAAATATGAGCTCACAGGAAAAATAGTATGCATAAATACATTACTTTTTGGCCATATTTTCAATTTCCTCTTGCGATAAGTCGACAAATATCTCTTTGTGCTTCTGTATAATCTTCTCATATCCATATTTTTTAGCATTCGCTACAAGTTTATCCTTAATTTGTGGTATTTCGTCTAGCATAAATTTATCTTGCTGTTTTCCAGTCGATCCGCTGCCCATTTGAAATGTGCACAGATACTGTTTCAACTGAGCCAGTGCTGGAACTTGATCTAAAACATGGTCATTTAGCAAACCGATACACTTTCCAATCTCCTTTCTTCGGAAATTAGTAGCTTCATAACTTCGCATGGCTTCTTCGTGAAACAGTATTGCGTACAAACAAAACCATGCCTGCGCTTCATCTTTTGTCACATTTAAGACATCTTCACCGTAAACCGGTGTCCAGCGTCCTTCTAGAAATTTTTCAAAGCCGGCACGAGTTTTTCTCAGCCATGGTTTGGCATGTAAAAGTTCTGCTATCAAGCATGGTACATCATGGGTTTTTAGAACACGATTTACGGCACTCAGTGGAAGTACGGCCAAGTTGTTAACCAAGTAGCTTAACATTGTAACACATTTTAGTCCTACTTTGAATTCCATATCCCGTTTCAGTCGCTCAATTTCATCTGCTGATGGTTCTTTTAGTAGCTCCTTTGGATCGTCAATATCTTGATGCTTGTTATTAGCAGCTCCGACCAAGAGCCCTAAAGCTTGAGCACAATAATCAATCAGATCTAAAGTCGTATCACCAAGTCCTTCACAACAGCTCTGATGGAACAGGAGGGTTTCCAGTAGAGCAACCACATTCACTTCATAGTACAGAACACTATAGAGCACAAACGAAGTTTGCAAATCTTTCGTATCAATAAGATGGGGTAAAATTTTAACCCTCCAAATCAAAATGCAGTACAACTCATGCACTATTACAGGAAGCTTTGCTTCGATTAAAATTTTTTCTTTTATTATTTCCTCCTGCTTAGTACTCGCTTCGATGAATGCCTGTTGGGTCAACTTCAAGATGGCTTCATTCTGTGCGAACCAGCTAGATAAAAAAATGTGGATTAAAATTGATGTTTCATTAACCCAAACCAACCCTACCTTTCACTTCCGATATCCACAACCTGATAACGTCGCAGACTTTCAACGAAATAATCTACCTCTTCCGGGAAGACAGCACAAGGATAAGACATCTTGTCGTTTGGATGGAATTCTGCTCAATGAAAATAACAAAAACTAGTATCCATGGGAACGGAAAATCAATCCGTTAAAAGAAACAATACATCGATTCATAGGGAACATTGGGGCTACGGTGCAAGGAGACGCAGAACATTTTTCAAGAAACTCCATTGCAGAAATTATGTTTATGTTCATTGTTTTCATGTTTTTCGTCTTGTTTCTCCTTAACGACTTTATTAAATCGAACTGCGGGCAGACTTATTGTTCAAATGTCTGTTTAACTTGGGGTTATAAACCAACACAAAATATATATTGTCATCATTTAATGAATCATCTTTCAATTTACACGTATTTACAACAATATTTATTGCTTCTTTAGTATGCATCACTCAAATATATATATATATATATATATATACTTAATTCAGTCAAATTAGAGAAAATTCAAAATAAGGAGCATCCATTAAGTACGTCACGCTCTAAGGGCGAAAAGGAGGTTAATTTTCCCTTAATTGATGTACTTAATGCATGCTCCCATACACGTTTTGATGACACACAAGCTTATTCAAACAAAACCAAAATTATTGGTACTTACATACATGTACACAGGTTTGTAAAGTTTAACATTCAAGAAAGACGAACATACCTATCCTATCCGTACTCGGATTGAATTGTGAGAGAAAATTCTCCTTTGGAAATAAATGTCCCGTGGTACCAGAGCCGTGTGTCCACCAAAAGAGCGTCTCCGGGTTCAACGTAGAAGCTAAAGCTGCGGCACTCGTTATCGCACTCTGGAGTGGGTGCCAGTATCCAACTTTTATTACCTCTCAGCTGGGCTTGCCACATCAGCCGAGGTATGTAATCGATCTAAAATGATTAAGATGTTCATGAGGATAAAGTAAAACCACGAGACAGTGCTAAGCCCTACGTGCATGACTGCACCCTGCTCGTAGCCTAGAAACACAAAATCCGTATTAGGCATTTCGGCATCCTCTGGTAAGAAGTGCGGTTTCGGGTAAAGTTTCCTGAGCTCCGCTAGTATCAAGGGATTGCAATTGCTCCATCCCACGTACCATGGCTTGTGGCCTGTGCGAAACTCTTCAGACATGCGAAATACGTCCTTCAGGGTTTGAAAATTGGACTTGAAGTGCAAAAACTGACAGTCCTCATGGAAGGTATCGAGCGCTGAAGGGTGTTTGTAGTACAGATCTTTCAGGAAAGTAAAATTGAGCATCTTTGCTGCCGGCCAATGTGATATTGCATTCTTAATGATAATTGGCCTTGACGAATAAGCATATGGCTTAAACTGCTCGCGGGAAAGATTGGACAATATTATTGGTCCTTGAACTCCTAAGATAAAAGAATTAGTTCAAGAATCAAGATGGTAATTTAAATAAAACACAAACCAAATACCTCTACAAAAATCGCAATCGGACAAGGGTCGTGTTGCCTCCCACACAAGATAATTGTTCGGTACAATGCAGCGTGTGCCAAGAATGACCTCAATGAAAGAAGCCAGAAATGGCGTCAACACAAACAATGCTATCAAGAATATAACACTGTACAGTATCGACAGCGTTCCGTCGTTCCACTGAGTCCACGATAGACGGCTCGCACGATAACCGATGGATAGCTTGAAAGCTTCTTCCATTTCTCGTTCGGTCACCCCCTTCTGAGATACAGCATTATTCAATACATGCAGCTTGTGTAGCAAAATTTGGTCACATAATTTCACACGCACGTTGCTCAGCCTTGCCATTATCACGTAAATTATTATGGATTGTCTTAAATAAGCAATTCAAGCCTTATTTTATTAAATTTTTAGCTTCGATTCAATCCATGTCGCAAAATATTTTGTTTATATCTCTGACGATACTAGGGGGTTGTAAAAACGACAGATTTTTTTTTAGCAATGTAATTTCGGTACCCAAAACATTGACGTTCATTAATTTTGCATACACGGAGAAAAAAATAAAATAATAATTCTTCGATGCAATCGGTGTAAATATTAAAAATAATTTGACAAATCTCAGGTAATCGTCATAGCAGTACACAGCAAAAAAAATGTAATATCGATCAATGTAATTCAAGCTGATGTATGAAATAATGATGTAATAGCAAAAAGCAGATACAATGTTACACTCAAAAATATTACTAAACAAAGATAGATTAAAATTTAATCGATTGTCGACTTCTCCCCGAAAACATTGATCCGATTAAAATTTCATTCAAAACTACACAGATAAAAAAGTCGTTGAATATTACATCCAAACTGCTGCAACCAGGTCAATCCATCGGTTGTGTAACATAAAGTTCTACGATGTACATCGATTTTGCGAACAAAATGACAGCCATTGATGTAATATTGTATCTGCTCTTTGCTATTACATCATTATTTCATACATCAGCTTGAATTACATTGATCGATATTACATTTTTTTTTGCTGTGTATGGCTAAATCTGAATAATGGCGTGTAATTAGTACCAACAATCAAACGAAACTAACAATTTTAAATTGGCTCACTATACTTGACTAGCCTATTGGTCCCAAGCAAATGATTAACGTACCCCATTCTAGTCAAAATTCTAGTACTACACAATGTTTGTTTTGATTCGCTATGAAAGTTTGACAGATAAAATGAGGGGTTATTGGAATTTCCTATGTTTCGAGGGGTGAATCGATTAGCTTGGGACCGAAGATAGTACCAGAGCTGAGCCAAAAAGTAGAGCTCGTTTCTTCGGGACCTACTAGTCTTATACCTTGTACAGACATACAAAGTACACTGTTGTACCATAGAGGTAACTCTAAGACCACTGGGTCCCGAAGAAAATCATTATTATTTTTGGCTCACTCAGTACCAGAACAACGGTCCCAAGCAGTCCCAAGCTATTTCACTCACCCCTGCATGTTCTGCATGAATCCACACACCCCTGATGTTATCTGTCAAACTTTCATAGCGAATCAAAACAAACATAGTGTAGTAATAGAATTTCAACTAGAATAGGGTACGTTAATCGTTTGCTTGGGACCAATAGGCTACTAAAGTGGTGAGCCAATTTAAAATCGTTAGTTTCGTATTGATTGTTGGTTGTACCATAGAGGTAACTCTAAGACCACTGGGTCCCGAAGAAAATCAATATTATTTTTGGCTCACTCAGTACCAGAACAACGGTCCCAAGCAGTCCCAAGCTATTTCACTCACCCCTGCATGTTCTGCATGAATCCACACACCCCTGATGTTATCTGTCAAACTTTCATAGCGAATCAAAACAAACATAGTGTAGTAATAGAATTTCAACTAGAATAGGGTACGTTAATCGTTTGCTTGGGACCAATAGGCTACTAAAGTGGTGAGCCAATTTAAAATCGTTAGTTTCGTATTGATTGTTGGTTGTACCATAGAGGTAACTCTAAGACTAGTAGGTCCCGAAATAACGTGCTCAACTTTTTGGCTCAGCTCTGGTACTCTCTTCGGTCCCAAGCTAATCGATTCACCCCTCGAAACATAGGAAAAACCAATAACCCCTCATTTTATCTGTCAAACTTTCATAGCGAATCAAAACAAACATTGCGTAGTACTAGAATTTCGACTAGAATAGGGTACGTTAATCATTTGCTTGGGACCAATAGGCTACTAAAGTGGTGAGCCAATTTAAAATTGTTAGTTTCGTATTGATTGTTGGTTGTACCATAGAGATAACTCTTAGACAAGTAGGTCCCGAAGAAACGTGCTCAACTTTTTGGCTCACCTCTGGTACTATCTTCGGTCCCAAGCTTGTCGAATCACCCCTCGAAACATAGGAAAAACCAATAACCCCTCATTTTATCTGTCAAACTTTCATAGCGAATCAAAACAAACATTGCGTAGTACTAGAATTTCGACTAGAATAGGGTACGTTAATCGTTTGCTTGGGACCAATAGGCTACTAAAGTGGTGAGCCAATTTAAAATCGTTAGTTTCGTATTGATTGTTGGTTGTACCAACAATCAATACGAAACTAACGATTTTAAATTGGCTCACCACTTGACTAGCCTATTGGTCCCAAGCAAACGATTAACGTACCCTATTCTAGTCGAAATTCTAGTACTACGCAATGTTTGTTTTGATTCGCTATGCAAGTTTGACAGATAAAATGAGGGGTTATTGGTTTTCCCTATGTTTCGAGGGGTGAATCGATTAGCTTGGGACCGAAGAGAGTACCAGAGCTGAGCCAAAAAGTTGAGCACGTTATTTAGGGACCTTCTAGTCTTAGAGTTACCTCTATGGTTGTACTACCGTTGTATCAACAATCAATACGAAACTACCGATTTTAAATTGGCTCACCACTTTAGTAGCCTATTGGTCCCAAGCAAACGATTAACATACCCTATTGTAGTTGAAATTCTATTACTACACTATGTTTGTTTTGATTCGCTATGAAAGTTTGACAGATAACATCAGGGGTGTGTGGATTCATGCAGAACATGCAGGGGTGAGTGAAATAGCTTGGGACTGCTTGGGACCGTTGTTCTGGTACTGAGTGAGCCAAAAATAATAATGATTTCCTTCGGGACCCAGTGGTCTTAGAGTTACCTCTATGGTTGTATTTCTTTAAGCTAGTACCTCAAATTGTACCTTTTGAGGTACTCGATTAAAGGAGTACAACAGTATGGTATTAGAGTTACCTCCTTGTTAGTACCTTGTATAAAAAGGAAACAAACAGCCTGTTCCGCATTAAAAAAAATCCCACTAAGTCCAGAACTGGAACGGGTTCTTGGTCACATTCTCCGGTAAGTTATTACTCAAATAGTATTATAAACATTTCTATACTAAAAGAGTAATTGTATCCATAATAGCTCAAATCCACCCTGAAAAATCAACTCGATCAAACTCTGGATCGCGGCCTCTAGCGAGAAGCGGCCGTTCTGATTCGGCCGATTCCGAAGTGGAAGAAAAAACGAAATCAAGCCGCTATATCCAGTGATTCAGAATTGAATGCTGAGAAGGATCAACAATGATGAAGCTTCCGATAGAGAGTAACTAGGTGTACGTGAAACAGAATGACGTGGACAATAAGTACAATCAAAAGCTGATTATATTCCAAAATCAGGCAAGAAAGAGTTTGTGGTTGACTCGAAGTTGACAAAGAAGTTTGACTTTTTATTACTGTTTTAGGTCGTTTGCTATCGTCGGGCTTGGGTTCACATGAGAGAGACACTGTTGAATACGATTATGCGCGAGTGTTTGAGAGAACCGACAGATCACACTGCAAAACGGTATCAACAGCCATTGGGTGTACGTAGAGGAGGAACCAGTCCGATTACGTTCGTGCAAAATCTACAAGATCATGACTGAAGGGCCGATTCAAACATGTCCTGCACCAGATGTTACGTCTATTTGCAGCCTAATTGTGGAATTATTATCACTAATATTCGTACAATCCTTTCTCGACTGCCGTGGTGCGATTATTATGCCATCGGGCATCCTTATTATATTTAATTTAAATTCTTCAATAAGAACCCAATTCCACGACTTCCAGATCTTTTGTTTGCTTTTTCCAAAATTCCTCACTTGACATCAATGAAAAACGCATTTTGACGGATAGGCAGGCTTTATGCATTCTATGAACACCGCAACTTTACACCATTCAATGAATAAATCATTTTTATACTAAGTTCTTATTCTCTCCCTTTATACCGACCTATGCGTCGGGCAGGAGAGTTGCGATTTAGTGTAACTTTTAATCTATTTAGATTTGAAAATCTTTTGAGTGTACGAGTTTTGAAACTCATTGAAACGCCATTACTGGATTAACAATAGAAAAGGGCCCATCAGCATTTGTAAACAAACCGTTCGAAAGCCCTTTCCGCTTAAAGCAAATGCCGCCCACGCAAACGAACACCATCATCGTGTAGGGGAAACTTTCCCCTATCCGATGATAGTGTTTGCGAGGGTGGCCTTCGCTTTGTGATGAAAGGGCTTTAGAACGGTTTGTTTACAAATGCTGATGGGCCCTTTTCTATTGTTGATCCAGATTAGATTTTCTTCGTCGTACGAATAAACGTAGAAAAAGGGGATTCGCTACACGGTAACCGCAAAATACCCAATAATGACTACAAAGTAAGCATTTTCGAGGGAACCCTAATAAAAATAACCATAAACGAACGATAACCCAAATCATTGAACTATTCCACAAATGGTTTGGATGATACCCAGAACACGTCGTTAAGCAAATTAACCATACAATTTTTATTAGGGAAACTGGGACTACCCATTAAATGAGTAAAAATATTACCCATTTATGAGTATTTGTTATTCAAAAATGAATACTTACTACTTGTTTTTGTAGTTGTAATTACTCATAAATGGGTAAAATTTTACTCATTTAATGGGTAGTCCCAGTTTCCCTCGAAAATGCTTACTTTGTAGTCATTATTGGGTATTTTGCGGTTACCGTGTAGGAGCGCTTCTTTTGTTTTGAGAATAATTTGCGTAAATATTCATACAATGTCGCTCTAACAGGATTTATGTTGTAGCTAATGAAATAACGGATCGGAACGAACCTATTACTGATTTGTGCACCGTGATATCATTGATATTATTGATCTTTTCTGATCGATAGAACGGAAATGAGCGATTACGACGAAGTAGCGCTGTACCCTATGTGAAGATTTTTTTCTATTTTTACCTGGCATCCCTGTTGTCGAGGGTGTTGTGATTACTTATACCAATCGAATATGTTATTGAGCGCCCCTCGCTGTGATGCGTCGTCGCAGGGAGGTAAAATAATCAATATTCAGTGAGATTGTATTAAATTACGGTGGTCTCATTGTTGGAAAGCTGCTTATCAAAAGAATAAAATGAGTGCGACGCTAGTCAGCATCGCAGAAGAGGATTTTTTCGGCACTGTTATTCGTTACGGATTATACGTGGGTGCCATATTTCAGATGGTTTGTCTTGCCGCTTGCATTGTGCTCCCCGATGGAGGGGCAGACGGCTTGAACGGTTCCAAGGTAATGAATAGTGCATTTTCATTGGCCCATTGGCTGGGTGCATTAACACCACTTTTCTCATTAATAGGCAAACGATAGCGAAGATTCGAGCTCCGAGCATTCGTCTCCCCAAAATACACCTAGGCGTCCGTATCACCGAAGCCGTAAACAGGATAAGAAGAAGAGACGTTAAATTCGCGCAAAGTTCATTATAATTATTTTTTTATTATAATTTTCATACTTTGCACATTCATTTGCAACTGTATCAACTAAGGGTAACTACTTTTAAAACATCAAAAGTGTTTAAATTGTTGTATTAACGTTTATGTCTACATATATGCTCGCGAATAATTTAAATTAGGTTTAGTTAATTTTAAGTTGTCACTAAAAACAGTGGTGATTTTAGTAACTCTCGAATAGCCTCCGCTAGATGTAATATCCAAGGTTTTATAAATGATCTTAATTGTAACAGAATGCTACAATCTAAACTTGTAGGTACCACCTCCTTACTCTGCAAATTGTGTGACTCTCAATACACGTAGTCACCTCACTAGAAACAGAGACTAATTAAATGATCAAAATGATACAAAACTTCTTTCTTTTCAATGTGTGTATTCATACAAAAAATATGACATCCAAACTAACAACAATATCAACAATTCTACCAAATAGCCCCATGGAATCAATTACCGCTATACCAGAGATAACCAGAAACACTTGCGTTGCACTAGACTTTCGAGTGGATCTCTTTTTGAGCACACTTCATGACCTCCATTGCTCCTTTCGATATCAGTTCCTGTGCCAAACGCTGACCCAACTGCTCGCACTCCTCAAAAGTTCCCTTTTCGACATTCTTATGCCTATGCATACCGCAAAACAGCAGCTCGCTGTTGTCTTCTAATTTCGGTGCTTTCCGCTCCACATTTTCGTTGTAGTCTAGTACTTTTGCTTGAGCGAGAAACGGGCATTTGTCGGTGATTGGGTGGTCTTCCTTTGCAGTTGTCAACTGTGCACTAATGGGACAGCGAATACCACCCTGTGTGGTTTGGTCTACCTTTTGATCAGTGGTAACATACGGACAATCTCCCATGAAATCAACTCCCACAGGGAAAGCACTACTGGGACATGCTACTGCCTTAGCATCTCCTTGACCTTTCTCTGGAACTTGATCCGATTCCGTCAGTTTCTGTAGCTGAGCCGAATAAGGACACTTTTTGAACATTTCGCCATGGACATCCATGAACTTGGTCATGTTTAGATTGTCTACATATTTAGAGCAGCTTGGTTGAGAGTCGTCCACTATCTCAGGACTCTTTCGCTTATCGTCGATTGAATTGATTTGTGGTTCTGCCTCCGTGTGAAGTGCATTATCTACAACATCTTCCGTTTTGCTTCTTTTCGAGGGAACACTGTTACCATTTTCAATATCTAGTTGGACATCTTCTAATTGAATAGAGCACCCATCGTCAGCACGTATTTCCGTTTGGCCATCCAAACTCCATACGGAACCTAGGATGTTGAGGTTGTTGCTTTTAGAATCGTGCTTACGCTTTAAATTTGTACAAACTGCAACTGGTGCACTGCACCCGCCTCCCAACGTTTTGAGGAAACTTCTTTCCACCAAAATTTTACACTGAGTTTCCACGTGACAAAGCTTCGATAGCATATCCAGTATATATTCATCATTAGACCGGCATTCTACAGCAAGCGCTCCTTGTCCTACAGCGTACAACATCTCCGCCGGTTCAATGACTTGGTCAATACGTTTCTTCCACCCCATTCGCATGAGTCCTGCTTGTGCCAGAATGATTCCGGCAAATTTTGAACCATTGGCATCCAACTTTGCCAGACGCGTATTTAAATTTCCTCGTATGTCGCATACAACTAAATGAGGATGCAATCTCGCTAGTTGTGCGGATCTACGAAGGGATGATGTGCCGATGACTGCACCTTTTGGTAACGTAGATAGTGTTTTGCCCTGGTATTTCTCGTTGAGCACCAAGGCATCACGAGGATCCTCTCGTTCGAGAACGGCCCCAATGGCCATTCCAACCGGCAGAGCGGTCGGTAGGTCCTTCAATGAATGAACGACAAAATCCACACCTCCATTTTGCAAGGCATCTTCTAAATCTTTTGTAAAAAGCGATTTCTCGCCAATCTTCGGCAGTGACTTGTTGAGTACCCTATCCCCAACGGTTGTCATCGTATCTGGAAAAGACAAATATTTCAGTGAATTGCCACATCGGTACAAGAACCACTATAACTCACGAATCTCATACTGAACACCTGGATTGAGTCTTTGCAAGCAGGCAATCACATGCTTGGTCTGAATCAGCGCCAGCTAAAAAAAAAACAATATTTGGTAGTTTTAACTATATAAACTAAAAAAATAGTAGCGAAGTTACGTTTGCATTTTCGACAATAATTAATTTAAATTTATTTTCCACACAACTCATATAGTTTTGTCAGTTTCTGATTGTTATTGACTCTGAATTACCTCACTTTTTCTAGAGCCAACACGAATTACTTTTTCCTTAGACGCGCCAGTCATAATGTCTCCTCGTTAATTATAACGTCTGTACTTGACTGATAGTTAAATATTGGAATCTGCAAGCAAACAAGAACGATACGAACCAATTTAACTACATAATCACCAAATTGCTGCGTCAGCTTACTCAATCGAAGCGCTCTTAGAGTAGGTACCCACCTAAGATGTTTGTTGTCTCGTGTGAACCAAATAGATTCACTTAAATGCTGCTAGACAAGAAGCCTTTCCCTTCACCCGTCTAATATCTATGCTCTCTTCTTGTGGATGAATATGATTGGCCTTGATTACTAATGCTGTTGATCTAAGATATACATTTATTCAGATAATGTACTAGGTACTATTGCAGTTTGACGAGCGATGGGTCGCACTTTTTTCTTATTGTTATCAGGACAATTCTTACGAAATCCACAAAATCTGAACGTCAAAAACTTCTTTTACATAACGACAAGTCTACGACTCGGTCTACGACACGACTGTCCTGTCTTGTCCACGAGTCAATTTGATACCACCGATCCCACTAACTCTCAAAAGAGGGGGGAAAGGCCAACTCAACTCGTCGACGTGCCATGAGGTGTATGTGGGCAGGTGTGGAAATCGTGGATCGTAAAATGGTATCACGCTATTTCAAAACTACCTAAACTTGGGTACAATCCACCCAGATCGGTAAAAACTAAACCTACACTGAAACAAAATCCATTGGCAAAAATACTATATTGATGGTTTATAGTACGTTCAGACTACAGAGTTATAACATGTTATAGCGCTATCTTGATGGTGGTTTCTGTGTTGCAATTAGTTGACAACCGTTATAACATGTTATAACTCTCCAGTCTGGACAGCGTTTTAGATTAAATACACTGAAACAAAGATAATAGTTGGGAATACTATTTTGCAGAAAACACTTATTTTCAGTATAACTACGCTTAATACCGTTAAATCTACCATGATTTCAGTATAGTTGACTATAAATATAATCAAATTTACTACCATTCTGTCAAAACTACTATGCTGACTCAAACGGTATAGTAGTTTTGATAGAAAAATTAGTCAAATTAAATGAATTTCGTTTCTGCACAAATCTATTGGTGGGAGTATTTAATTTAAACCATCAATATAGTATTTTTGCCAATGGATTTTGTTTCTGTGTACCCTCACCAATAGATTTTTGCAGAAAACAATTTCATTTAATTTTACTATTATTTCTATCAAAATTACTATGCATTTTAAGCAAGCATAGTAGTATTGCCAGAATCATAGTAAATTTGTTAACATTCATAGTCAACTATACTGAATTCATAGTAGATTCAATTGGAGGCGAACCAGCCTAAGGCTGAAAGCCTCCTAAATAAAGCTAAATAATAATAATAATAGTAGATTCAACAGCAATAAGCGTGGTTATATTGAAAATAAGTGTTTTCTGCAAAATAGTATTCCTAACTATGGTTCTTGTTTCAGTTACCCAAAAATGGGTAAACTGTGTTGGGAGTGAGTTTTGAAATAGCGTGCCGTGTACACGAAAAGAAAATCAATTTTTTTATTCAAGTGTTTCACTTATACATTTTTGCCAAAACATCAGCCTTAAGGTACTGTGAAACCGAGTTTGGATTAATTTTACTGCAAACAAAATCGGGATGGTAATTTGTTCAAAATATGCCGCCTAAACAACTTTTTCTTTTCAGAACTGATGTAATCCAGGATTGGCAACCCAAGGCGAACCAGCCAATGGCTGAAAGCCTTGTAAATAAAGGAAAAAAAAAAAAAAAAAAAAAAAAAAGGATTGGCAAGGAGATGATCTTTGGTGAAGAAGAAAGGTGCAGTTTAATTTTTGTCAAAATTTTCGTAATGTCGTTGTCGAACGGAATTTGGAAGAACGATCATCCGTATGGCGATTCCATCAGTCGCAGTCACTGCAGCTGGAGAAATATGAACGGGAGTAAGAACGAGGCATGTCTGGACCAAACAAAATCAATTTCAATAATGTTCAGTATTATTATCTGTTGTAATTTAATAATAAATATTTTAAATAAACTATAAAAAAAGATTAATAGTATGCAGGACACGCAATTCATATATGATAGACAATATGATGTTGAGAGTAGAATATTCGACAATTATGGGATTGGTTGTTGACACTGACATTTGAAGTCCATGAAATCCAAATGTGTAACAAATGGCTTTATAGCGTTACTGAATAGATTGTATCATCTGATTCACACATGAAATTGATGTTTAACAATTTGCGCGAAATCAGGTGTGAAACACATTGTAGTGCCGTGCTCATTTTTTTGAGTGCAGACTTTATATAAATGACATTGATATAGTATTCCTCGATGAACATTTCAAATGGTCCTATCTGTTTTGATCGATTCTCTTCATCTTTTTTTTATAATCACTGCTATGCAAACAGATTTCGCGCTAATTGTATCGCATAGTTTGATAAAGGAGGTTCTTATCAAGCGTCCAAAACGTCAATTACAACAGGGAAAGCTTTTGCAGCTGAGTTTTAACTTCGGTTTTAACGAAAGAGAAAGTCGATGAAGAGAATCGATCAATTCAGATAGGACCTTTTATCTAGAATTTGTGATGTAGACCACACGGAAAAATACTACCCAAAATTTGAGTTATTTTTACTTTATTTTGGACGAAAATTTGAAATTAACTAATATTAACCAAAGATTTAAGTAAAGTAAAAGAGAAAAATCTATTCAAATCTCTAATAAGGAAAAAAAATCCCAAAGGCTACCAATAGCCATCATAATGAAGTAATGAAATTTTGTATCGTTGGTTGCTTTATGTGTTTGGATTCGCTGGTTATTTACCATAGAAGAAGGTTTAAGAGAATTTGAAGAATATCCGGTTTAAGGCGGTAAGCTTCAGCTCGAGTTAACTTTTAATACCGGCCCTGATTGGAGAATCTACCAAATGATTGTTATACCCCGTACTATGGCTTATATTATCATGTAATATAGGCTGTCTTGCAATGAGCACTCATACATCTAGTTTTCTAGCTTTCACTGGAAATACTATGCATGAGTGCTCATTGTAAGACAGCATTTCCAGCATGAGTTTCTGGTAGGGAACATGTTATTTGACGTTTGGGTTGTGTCGTTTGACGTGTAAACGTTCAAATTTGATCGTTTACACGTCAAAAGACACAACCCAAACTTTATGTTCCCTACCAGAAACTTTGCCAGATTGTGGCGGCCACAAGCGATCGTCACCTTTTGGTGAGACTGGATGGAATTCAACTTAAATATGATTCAAGCCACTTGAGGAGTGCGTAATGAATTCCCATTTTTCGAAGTTTAAAAAGAAGCATATGGGTATGTCAATTCGATCAAACGCTTTGCTGAAATCTGTATACAACCTTCTACATGGTTTCCGTTATCCATTGCATTCAAGGAATAATTAATTAATTCGAGCAAATTCATAGTTGTTGTAGGGCCTTTAAAGAAGCCATGTTGCATAGTAGTTATTCTGTTTTTAATTTGAAGAAAGAGTTTTTCATTTACAATCGCCTCGAAAAGTTTCGGAATGCAAGAGATAATGGCAATACCACTATAATTACGTATGTCAGATTATTTTTCCTTATTTACAGATAGGCACTAAAAACGAGTTTTTCCATATTTTAGGGAAGTTTCCGGATTCCAGTGACATATTGAAAATCTAAAATAATGGAGCAGTAAGTTCAGTTGCTAAAGTTTTCAATAAGTCAACCATCCCAACGCCAAACCAAAGGTAAGAAAAATTGTCCCCGATCGACCGGACACCACCCCTCGGTTAGATTCGTGGTATTGTTGTAAATTAATAGTTTGTTTATTTATTTTTTGGATATTTCCAAGAAAAAATTGATTTCCGTTGCTTAAAGGTAAATATTTCAAGCACACGATTTCACATGGGAAATGACCACCAGCGTACAAAGTTCAAATATGCTGTAAACTAGTGTAATCAGTTGAGAGCAAAAAGCAAATCTATTATTACAAGCGGGATTTTAAATGCTCTTTTGGTCCACATCACCACTGATCTGCTAACACTAGTGTGCATCTTTTCAATGAGGCAAAGATCCGGACAGGTCCTGGAACCTGGTAGCCTAATTAAACTACCTCAATGTTTTACCACTGCCCAGGGATTTTTCGTTCCTTGTCCCTGTCTAAACAATATCATCAATACAATTTCATTTTCATTTTCATTTTATGATGTACAAGGGGGTCAGGGGCCATGTCACCGATGTGAATATTCACACCATCCATAATACACCAGGGAAGGGGAGAGGAGTGAGCAACACAGCATCTTTACCCATGGGGGTTAAAAAAGTTCTGCAAGGTACACTTGTGGTGAACCAGCGGCTCAGGGATTGTAGAAAGGAAAAGGGCTGGGTAGGTTTAAAATACAGAAATAGATGCCGTCACGATTGAATGCGCATGTTTAAACAACGTTGATCCAGGTACCTATCATATAAATTTGCATATAATCTAGTTATGATTATTGTCAATAATACTTACATTTCGATAAAGATGGTGCTGCCTACTTTACCTGTTATGTGATACTTATCATCACAGAGTCCAACCTTGAATCGCAGACCAGGTCCACTAACAAAACACTCGTTCCGAGAAGGGTTTATGGTCTTCTTCTTCTTCTTCTTCTTCTTCAGGTTCGCTCACCACCCGGAATGAAGGCTCGGTGCGGTTAGTAATATCAAACAGTGTTACATGCAAACGAAAAAACGAAAAAGAGATACAACCAGGATTAGTTTTTTAAAGTAATAGTTTCATCTGAATACCCAACTAACCATATCTCAGTGACATTGTACCACTCTGAACCCACACCTAAAGCTATTTTGTGATTATATGGTTACTTTGGTATTCACATGAAATGTTGTGCAAGTACCAGAAGTTCAACAACGCCCAACTATGGACAGCTCAATGTTAATACCATTTACTCTTTGAATCAGCTTACACAAACATGATAATCTACTAAGAAACATCTAAGAATGTATAGAGATAAAGTTCAAAAATACAGTTTTAACTGATGGTACTTTATAAACTTCAAACTGTCCAATATTGGACCCTGCCAACACACGGCGCCTGCACGGCAATGTGGGCCGTCAGAATGGTTCATCGGTTGCGAAGTGAAGTGCTTCTTAAACTGAAGCGATACATTTCTCAATGTTTCAACGTTATCCTAACGTAAACTTAATATTATCACCCATATGCCTGTCCACGCCCGAAACCCATCCACCACACAAAATCAAATAAAAATGTTTCTGTATGGCAAACACGTCCAGACATAGACGAGAATATGGGTGTATATCTTCACTGTAACAACTACGGGTAATCATCGAAAATACTTGCATTTTACTCAGGCACTTTTGAGCAAACTGCAATCACTCTCTCATACTCGAAATATGCCACGACCAAATTGGCACAACGACGCCCTATACGCTCTCTGACCAAAGCGCAGGGCTAAACAATATCATCAATACAATTGTACCTTTTTTATACATTTTCTCTGAAATGAATCGTCTTACGATGATCAACAAGTCGAGTTTATTTTCTGCTCCAGAAAACATGCGTCTACAATTTTAATTGCTGCCATAAATTTAAGTACTAACGAAAACTTTTTACAGGCAACATTCCATGCCGAAAATGTTCACAGAATATTATGCATAAGTCGCTTGTTTGAAATAAGGTATTAAGTACTAGGGTGGTTCAAAATGTTCGTTTTGTTCCAACCCACTCAATCGATTCCGAATCAGGTCCTGATCATCCTTACAAAATTTGAGCTCTTCTAGATGCGAACTCGTACTGGACTGACCTTTTGAAGTTTATATGGGAATTACTATGAAATAATTTATTTTTTTACGAGGTACTCTTGCATCACACACATCACCATAATGATGTACGGAAAAGTTTGCTAATTTTGCTTATGTGAATTTTTCATAACTTCTTTGCTGAAGACCACATTTTGATTGAACCTCAGAATAATTTGTGATTAATTAATTAGGAAGATGATGTCCATGTGACAAGACCTTTTCCAGCAACTGCTCAGTAGGAAACATTGGTGTACCTGGTGCGAAGTATAGGGCAAAAAACCCATGAACTATGGCATAGTGCAATATGAAAAAGTCAGCAAAGTTGTAGCTGGGAAAAATCAAACAAAATTCAGGTAGCAAACTATTCCGTTTATCATTATGATCATAGTGTAAAAAGTTAACCTTTCCTATATAAACTTCAAAGGGGAAGTGCAGTACGAGTTCGCATCTAGAAAAGCTCAAATTTTGGTAGGATGATCAGGTGCCCTGATTTGGAATCGATTGAGTGGGGTGGAGCAAAATCGATGTTTTGAACCACCCTAATAAGTACTTCATTCGATACTCGCGAATGGAGCAACTAAGCGTGCAACATGCTAGATTTTATGACGATGAATTGTTGTAATTTTGACGCCCTCCGAGCTCCAGTAGGTAACGATCCGGATGGTCCATCCAATCGGCTGCAGTCATTTTAACTGTTCGTTGGCGTTCGGCTTCTTTAATTTGCCAATTCTTAATATCCAGTTGTACTTCTCGCTGATACGGATTTCCACAGCCCCAAACCTCTATAGACAATATCTTGTGCTGTAAACCCCGATGTTCAAGCTTCTCAAAGTGCTCGTCGACGATTAATACCGGTTTACGAGTATCCGACCCTGCACGTAACCCCTTTGGATAGCCTCGAATGTGCGTATTCAAATACAAGCTTTTGGATTTCTTCTCCAGCATCACAAATCTGCAAATAAGATATTTTTTCAAATATATTGTTCGGAAGCAAACTGAAGCAGCATTACTTCGGTAGTAACTGCAAACAACAACTGTCTTCATCACCAATGTAGAGGTGCGTTTCGCGCCATTCGTTTGGATTTGCTACGCAAAATAGCAGATTGTCGTCACAACGAAATAGTATTAAATTAGGACCTCGATAGCCCAACACATGATGCAAGAAACGATTTGTTCCAGCACCATCTTGTCGGGAGTCGTACAACAGCGTCCAGTGCGATGGTACCATCGATAACAGTTTGGCCATAAATACCTATCAAATAAAAGATTGTCAACATCTGGATATCCCACAATAATTTTTACAAAGATATACGAACATGAGACGCCAAGTTGGACGAATTTGAATTAAGTGGTGGTTGGATGGATTGGGGCCTGGAATACGATGCAGGCAAAGATCCGGCCAACAGCCAAGCTTCAGATAACGGTAGTAGTGGTTGTTGAATGTTCAATTTATCACGAGCTTCCTGGGTTAACGGTTTACTGCAGTCAGCTTGGTTCACAGAATTAACACCGAAACTCGGGCTACCTTTCTCCAAAATTGGTGTTTGAAGCTCTAATCCATAACTGGCTTCGCCAGCGTTAATAGCAGTGATGGATACCACTGTGTCGCTATTGTTTTTCATATTTTTATCGATGATGATACGGTGAGATGTGCTCAGAGCGTGTACGCAGTATTTGTGTATCGGAGGCACAAGACGGGGTACATTGTTTTCCAACCAGCGGCATATGTAACCGGAGCTCAATGATTCTTTGGAGAAAAAACAGGATTGCACCACGGAATTCAACGTGCGATCAAGCTGTAGAAAGAAACATCTGTTTAAACTTGATTCACAAACAAGGTTATCAAAATCGATCATTATATTACCGATTCTTCATCGTCAACTTTCTTCATTTAGCAGCATTAGAATCAAAAGTGTTATTTTAATGGCTCATGATATTTGTAAAGTAAAACAAAAAATATGCACGCGAGCGATACTTACCAACCGACACGTCTGAGGCCCATCCTGATAATGCGCCATGGCCAGATTGTAGCACGTTCGTAATAAATCCTTCAAGTTTTCCGGTTTGATAAGCTCAGTTTCATTCAAATCTCCAAACATTTTAACATAGTTCTCGAGTATAACTGAATCATCCAGAATACTAAGAAACTTTTCACATTGCTGTCTGAACGCAGTCAGTCCCAAGTGATCGGTTTTTGCTCGGCTGTTGTGGCGGAGATACTTGAAGAGCTTCATTCCCAAATCAGGAAACTTCGGAAATACATACTTCTAAAAAAGAAGAATAATCGGTTTCATATACAACATATAACTCCGAATATGATAGTATTATTATTTACTGCAAATATGTCCCCCGTTATTCCATTTATTCCGTGTTCCTCTTCGCATTTTTTGGCCAATATTTTTCCAAGTTTCTCCACCGGATGATATTGCGTTTGTAAGCGATCTTGGAGATCAGCTCCAGAAGCAGATCGGGTCATTCCTTTAGTGGCACCATTATTGCTACTGGAACCAGCCGGATTTTGTTGGACTTCAGTAGGGCTAACGGATGGTGAACTTACGGGCTTCCCCCCGAAACTACTTTTGCTACTGTGCGAATTTCCCATTGTTTAGATAGGATCTGTACTGGAAAGTTTTAAAATGGTTAAGTCTTAATTTCGTAAATTGCATTAATAATTAGCACATATAATATAAGGCCAATCAACAGGTTTGTCTGACATTGAGTTTCCTTCTAAAGAGTGATGGAATGTGATACGGATATGTATGTACTGTGCTAACACAAATGTAAGTAAAATATATACACGTCACGGTTCATTACTGATTACAACAAAAACGTTCGTTTTTACTTTTCAAGCTGATGAACGCTGGTACCAAGCAAGATAAGTATGATGTATTTTACAAATGCAATTCTTCCATCTGACCATTCCAGGTCAAATTTCAACCTTTTCATATTTTTACGATTTACGTACCTTTTGAATGGATTTTGAAAACGAAAATAACTATCAGCGTTATTTAACTATACAAATACGATGAAAAGCAAAAAAAAACTCAAAAGATACATAAGCCAGAAACCCAGCTCATTTTCCTGCGTATTTTGCTAACTTTCTGGTTCAGACAACAACAAAATGACACGACCATAGAGCTTGCTGACGTTTATCGTATGCACACTACGTCACGTATACGTATACGCAAAATAATTTCATCAGGAAAAAAAACTTCATAGTGAAAATTTTGTCCAGATGAAAACAAATCACTGACACAATCACACTTTAGCAATCTCTATTGGCGTTGACGGTGACTCTGTAGCTCTTTACTCCTATGAGAAAATCCATAAGCAAACGTCAGACTGTGCATGAAACATGGCGCACTTTGTACTATCCTTTCACTCCACCGAAAATTCCCATAAGAAACTATCTAAATTTGCTGGAAGAGCAAATTTTTCGACGGTGCCGTCAACGCCAATTATAAATGTCGACAAACATAGCAAAAGGCTGAGCCTTTTCTTTGACGACTTTCAGTACACGCTATTTCAAAACTTCCCAAATTTGGGTAGAATCCACCCAGATCCGTCAAAACTGAACCTACCCAAAAATGGGTAAACTGTGTTGGGGGTGACAAGTTGACAAATGGACAACGTCGATCGGATTGATGTCAATGTTGGGGAATTTTGAAATAGCGTGTAGATTAACAGCATGGTTGATTTTCGCAGCAGATGGCACTAAACAAAAACTTTATATCGATCAAAGTAATTCAAGCTGATGTATGAAATAATAATTATGTATTATGTCTGCTTGTCTGTGTTTTTACTATTACATAATTATTATGTAAAAAAAAACACAGACAAACAGACATAATAGTTGCAAGTTGTTCATCGTACAAGCATTTAATGGACAATTTAAAAGTATCGTAGTTGGTAGTACCGTAGTACCGCCCCCCTGTGGCGCGCATAGTCAATTCTCTTGCGTTTTACGTTTACACACTACCGCCACAGACAAACAAACATAACACTCGCAAGTTGTTCATGGAACAAGCATTTAACGGACAATTTAAAAGTACGTAGTTGGTAGTACTGCCACCTGTAGCGCGCATAGTCCATTCCCTTGCGTTTGACGTTTACACACTACCGCCATCTGTTCAGCGTACTACCCAGCACAGTGTACTCAACAGATGGTGGTAATGTTTTAGCGACGATGTTTTACATTGAGAATGCGTAATGTCTGTATGTGGTAAAAAGCAGATACAATATTACTTCAATAAATGTAATTTTGTTCGCAGATATAAGCATAGAGGTAACTCTAAGACCAGAAGGTCCCAAAGAAACGCCCGCATAAATGCGAACCATTACTTGACCTTATTCATAATGGTTAAAAATTGTGTCTTTAACCATTTCAGTTAAAGTTTAGCAGGAATTATAAATAATGTTTAACCATTTGTGGTAAAGTCAAGCAATGGCTCGAGCAATGGTTCGCATTTATGCGGGCACTTTTTCGATTATCGGTTATTTTACCGATGCCTAAGTATTCTTTACCGACTTTCAGGTATGTGCATCTTAGTGTATACCGATCTGGACTCTACTCAAATTTGGATAATTTTTAGACTGTCGTTTCTTCTTCTTATACGTATACATAACAAGGGGGGGAGGTGGCTGTCAAATACAAACAATCGTCGCCTACCTCGCATAACTGGTTTCAAACGTAAACAAGCCGTAAGAAACCTACAGGGTTTGTTTACGTTTGGAACCAATTTTATACAAGAATGATCAGTAGGCTGATTTGACAGCACGTCCCACCCCAGGATTCATGTCGATGTTGTCGATTTGTCAACTTGTCACTCCCAACATAGTTTACCCATTTTTGAGTATGTTCAGTTTTGACCATCTGGGTAGATTCTACCCAAATTTGGGGAGTTTTGAAAAAGCGTGAGGTACATTTTGACGGTTCGATTGGAACAACTTTTGATAGACGTCCATACTTTTACTGTAGGGCTTTAGTCGTCGTCATCCGTCAATCTTGTAAACACACGTGCTAATGGTGTAAATACCGGATTATTAAATATATTTTTCAGTGCTAATATAAAGATAAATCATGAAAATTGATAAAAAACCGCCCCCAAAGGAAGTTAAAAAGGCATCCGAAGTGATCGACAGAAAGTACGACCTGATTAAAACGATCAACGAAAATGATGAAGTTGAGGATCTCTCAGAGGAATCCGACGTCGAGGTTGAGGTGCGTTTTTGTCACTGAGGTTTGAGGTACCTTTGTTAGCATTTTTGGTAATCCTTTTTTTTTTGTTATAGTATCAACCCACTAAACTGAAGAACCAGAAAAAGGGTGATTTTGATAATGATTTCAAATTCGTGTCTTCGGTGAGCGAATATAATCATGATACGTGGGACGATTTGATGAAATATGTTAAGAAAAAGAATAGAGGCAAGGTGGATGATAAAATTGCTAATGTAATCAAACGTCGATCGAAACAAAATGCTGAAATGTTGGATGAACCCGAAGATCCGGATCCCAATTCTTATAATGACGAGGTAGATCTGTCTGACGACGAATTGACGCACGATGTCATGAGAGTGAAGGAGAAGAAAGGTAGAAAACGCGAAATTGAGAGCGTCGATAAGGTTGCAATTGAAGATGAGCAAGATGAACCTGAAGACTTTTTCGAAGAAGCTGAAAATAATGAAGAAATATCGTCATTTTATCAGATGAACCTTTCCCGTCCACTGATGAAAGCAATTGGTGTACTTGGATACATATATCCAACACCTATTCAGGCTGCCACCATTCCGATTGCCCTATTAGGAAGAGATATCTGCGGTTGTGCTGCCACCGGCACAGGTAAAACTGCTGCCTATATGCTACCTACATTGGAGCGTTTGTTGTATAAACCAAGCGCGGCTCAGGCTGTCACTAGGGTTTTAGTACTTGTGCCAACTCGTGAACTGGGCGCTCAGGTTTATCAGGTCACTAAGCAGTTGACGCAATTCACTAATATTGAAGTCGGTATTGCCATTGGAGGATTGGATGTGAAAGCTCAGGAAGCCGTGTTGAGGACAAATCCTGACGTGGTAATTGCCACACCTGGTCGTCTGATCGATCACATAAAAAATACACCAAGCTTTTCATTGGATTCGATCGAGGTAAGCATATTTGTTTTAGCTAACCAATAGCCCATGACTATCAAACGTATATGATGAACCAATTCCTTGCGCTCTGAACATTACTTAGGATGAGATCAACCAAATAAATCGCCGAGTGATTTTAAAATGGTTCTGATTTTTTTTCGCATCTATTGTACACAGTTTCCCAACATCAGAAACATTCTTTTACGAAGTATCAATTTTAGGTTCTTATCTTGGATGAAGCTGACCGTATGTTGGACGAGTACTTCGCAGAACAGATGAAGGAAATCATTCAAAGCTGTAGTAAGACACGTCAGACGATGCTGTTTTCTGCAACAATGACCGATCAAGTAAAGGATTTGGCTTCGGTTTCACTCACGAAACCAGTCAAAGTTTTTGTGAATACTAATCAAACGGTTGCATTCAACTTGCGACAAGAGTTCATACGTATTCGTGAAGGTCGCGAATCAGACCGAGAGCCTATTCTAGCAGCCTTAATTTGCCGTACTTTCCACGATCACTGTATGGTGTTTGTACAGACGAAGAAAACGGCACACAGATTGAGAATTCTTCTGGGACTGCTGGGAATCAAAGCAGGAGAACTGCACGGTGATTTGACCCAATCTCAACGGTTGGAATCTTTGAAACAATTCAAAGACGAACAGGTGGACGTTCTTATTGCAACCGATGTGGCAGCACGTGGTCTCGATATTAGTGGGGTGAAAACGGTAATCAACTTCGTGATGCCCGCTACAATGGAACACTACATTCACCGTGTGGGTCGAACAGCTCGTGCTGGTAAAGCTGGAGTTTCTGTGTCATTGGCAGGAGAACTGGAGAGGAAAATTGTCAAGGACATTATTAAAAACGCTGTGAGTCCTGTAAAGAATCGCATAATACCGACAGAGATAGTAGGCAAGTATAGGAAGAAGGTTGAAGCTTTGGAGGATGAAATCGAAAAGGTCCTATACGAAGAAAAAGCAGAAAAACTTCTACTGCAGACGGAACAACAACTGAATAAAACGGAACGGAAATTGAAAGGCGTTGTTAGCGGACCAAGGTACATAAACAAAACTTGACTTTATTGTGGAGACTTTTAGCCAACTGGTTCATCTCCGTTTTTATGCACACTTTCATAACTATTCATGTCATTTGGTCTATTCTAGCCGCGAGTGGTTCCAATCCCATCATGAGCGCAAAGAAGAAAAGGAACGCCTTTCCGTGAAAAATGGAGACGAAAATGAAAAACCTAAGAAAAACAAGAAACGTAAGCGCGGTGAAGACAGTGAGGACGAATTTGATCCGATCAAATATCAACAAGAGAAAAGGCAAAAGGTGGCAAAAAAAAAGACGGAAGCTAACAAAACTCCCAGTCAGCAGGCAAAGGAACGTGCCCTACAGGAACTGACCAAAGTGTCGTTAGTTCAGGCCAAACTGTCCAAAATAAAAAATCGTCCTACGCGTGTTACGGCAACTGCTGATGACGATGACTTTGGAAAAGGCAAGAATAACGCCAATCGAAAGAACAAGAAACGATTCTCTCGCTTCGAGAAGGACCTTACCGATACGAGTAAGAAAGGTGTCAAAAAGTTAAGGTGAGTACCTAACCTCTTCTGAAATTTCTAGTTAGAGAATATAAATTAATATGCTTATTATCCTATTTATAGATATGATGCAACGAAGAAACAGAAGATGGATAAACTGGATAAAGGCAAACTGCCGAACATGAAAATAAGTGCTGATAAATTCCGCAACAAGAAGGGTCTTAATAAATCAAATAAGGGTAAATCTTTTGGACCCAAGCAGTCGAGAAAAGGAAAGCATTAAATGTATGGAAAAGTACATCAGTGATAAATAAAGAACATTTCTAACGCTGTGTTTTGGTGAATTTTTACTTTCATTTGACAAATGGGATAATTTGAAAGAACTCTGCTATAGTCTTTTCTACATGCGCGAGTATTGATGATCCGAAAGTGAAGATAACGAAGATAACAATTGGCAAATCAAAGTTGGCACTCGAGCAGAATAGAAGAACTATGAGCCGACGTGACAGCTCATAGAAGCTACTTTCAAAATCTTGCCCAAGACGCTATATTTAAAATTATAGATACTATAGATTCCATAGATAAGCGGAGGCACAAAAAGTTGTTTTGACAACCATGAAAAATAAATGATCATACTGGCATCCGTTCATGCCATCATAGAGCTCTTCTTTATGCAGTTTTGTTTTGTTTCGTGCATAAATGTTCAAAATGAAGTGCAAAGCAAATCTTTGCAACAATGTATCGAGGAATGGTTTGCTATATCTTTCCTTCTTCCGTTGTCCGCGAAATAAATCGGAATGTGGAGTGTGGAAAGCGTTTTGTGCTCATAATATTACAATACTTCTCCCTCAAACAACACCATTATGACGTCATGCTCGTTTGGCTACACTAACTGACAGTTCGTTTGACTACATTATACTTTTCCTTCGCTTATCTATGGAATCTATAGCATCTATATTTAAAATACGTTAAACACTACCGCCATCTACTCATCCGATCGCAACATATCATGAGCAAGGACACGAACACACGTAACATTTATATTGACTTTGTTGGCGTCTCACCTCATTTGAAAGATCTGATCGCCCGGTGGACGGATCAAATCGCTCATTTGGCAAATCGAATTACGGACAAACGAAATACTCCAGTGGCATGTCGGTTGGTCGGTGCTATGAGTGTGATGATGGTTTCAAAATTTTACATGGTGAGGTATACGAGTGCAATCTTAAAATGCTTTTATTTTGCAAATGGAGCATTTTATTTAAATTTGGTTGCTGCTACAGTGGTAGAAAATCTGAAGTCTACGTAGGGGGAGGAGGGGCATAGTGAGCATCCCGCAGTTTGGTCCTAGATCTCTAGCTGCATGAAACAAATAAACTGGTGGTAGGTTCAATATCATTATGATATTGATCCTACCACCAATAAATTGGTTCCGAACGGCCGGAAGTCCAAGCTGGTGCACGTGTAAGATTTGAAAACCATCATTACTTTCATAGTTCTTCTATTCTCCACGAGTGCCAACTTTGATTGGCCAATAGACTTCTCTGACGTTTATGAATTGCACAAGTTTAGTGCAGAACTTTGGGTAAATTGGGTAAAAGGTTTTCTTGCACTAATACTTATAATTTACCCAAAGTTCTGCACTAATACTTGTGCATTTCACAAACGTCAGAGAAGTCTATAGGCGAATCCAGTAGAAACTAAGCGATCGTTTCAGCCTATGGTGGTGAATAGAGGAACCATCAAAAGAGTGATGAGGGTGGAAATGTTCACCGTGAAGCATAGGAAGAGGACAATATTTTCACCTTTCCTGATTAATTTATCCACCGCAGGTGCTTGAAATCATCATCCAGGGGAGGAACCGGATGCGACCACCCATGTGAGTCTAGAGTATCGCACAAGCTAACAAGTGCAACGGGAAGGACATTAGGTGCATAGACCTGGGGGTTGGTCCCTAGATACGTTAACTTAGCGGAAAACACGGGATATGAACTGACCAATTACAATTACAAGAACGTAAACCTTACGGGAAATTGGACAATATTTGCCCAAGATTGACTAAGGTCATCATTTATTCCGTATTACGATTGATTGCAATATCTTTATTCACTTTATATCCTACCTTATCGTGTCTAACAAGGATTTTCGAAATTTCCTTTTCATCTGAACGAGAAACTAAAGAATGCAATTTCGATTTTCAATACAGACATCATGCAGGTCCAATTTTATAAATAATAATGCAACTTTATAAAATATAATTTGTTGCTTACTAACTGCATACTTACTTTACGATTGGACCTAAATTTAAACACGAATCGATAAAAAGTATTCATGTAGTTCATGCATACTACTTTCAGAAAAAAAAATGATAAACCTTCGTAGTCCTATGATTTAAACATTTTACTCATTAGATGCAACCGCTTCCAGTATGCGATTAATCTTCATCGTTTCTACTAGCATACATTTTTTTCGTCGGTGGCCCGTCGTCTTCAGCTCCGGTGTCTTCATCCAGATCTTCCGGTCCATCTTCGTTTCCTTCGCTGTTAGCCATATGTTTTAAGCTGGATGCTTTTTTTCGGTCCTGGCATAAAGAAACACATGTAGGGCAGCTGGGGCACGGGGTAAGATGCGCTAGTACATTTATTGATTTATTTGTTTGTCAAAATCAATATGCATATCCAATGGTGGTGTGCTTTTTCAGGCTACATTGAACTTGTTGATATTGACAAACAAAACAAATAGTAAATCCAGCTATCCCATCTTACCCTACACTATCTTTGACTATATTCTCCTTAGCAATAAACTTACATTCGATCCTGCAAGAGCTTTCTTTGTGGAGGCAGAATTTGATCCGGTCAGGTTATACATGTCCTCTGGTATGTACAATCTGGTATTATGGAAATTCTCGGATTGTGTTTGAAAGTACATAGACGGAATGCGTGCATCTACTGGAAAATCTCGTCCATCGTATGTGTTCACTTTGGTCAGAATCAATCCAAGTGCTACGTCACATATAGCCCACATTTTCTGTTATGTTAAAAAAGCGTTATCATAGAAAATACAATCAAAATGTTCAAATGCGTCTTACTTGATTAGTTTCCTCATCGTCAGGTTTAAGAGCATCTTTATGATTTTTCATTCGCTCAATCAAATTTTTATAAAAGCCAAAACAGAAGAACTCTTTGTTAGTAACTAATGGTTCTAAAATAAGCCATAGGCAACGTTCAATTTGTCGCAGCTGGGCCGGATCCGTGTGTCGCGTGAAACGGGGATCGTGAGTTAATACTGGTACAGCAAAAACCAACATATAGTCTGGTAGAATATGAGGAAGTTGACTCATTGCGCGCTCCACTAAAGAAGGTAAACGTCCATTTAGAACAGTCATAATGACATATTTGAAAGCCATCACTTACCTGTAGCAAAAGTTTTGACGTACTCTCTTCGGCGATTGACGTCTGTTTCAATGTTAGTTTTAATCTGCTGCTGGAGCCTGCAGAAATGAACAACAATTTTATGAAGTTTAACAAGAATTTATCAAGATTTTTATTTTAATGTACGACCACTTACTTTCTGTCTGCTTCACGTCCTGCTAGTACGTAGTATCCCATAAAGTCCAACGGTAGACACTTGTGAGGAATTCCTTTGTTCAGACCTTTGTGCAATTTTTTGACGAATATGTCACGTACCTCAATAACCGGATCCGACTACGAAAAAAAAAAACAAAATTGAGAAATAAAGACACTTCTTTTCTCTATCTTGGTTACAAACCATCAGCTGTGAAAGGTTGTAGAATTGTTCCACTATGTACTGATCTCCAACGCCTTTCTGCTCGCAAATTTTAAGCATTGCTTTGCCCGCACTTAGCCGCAACCATGATTTTTCAGCCGATGAAAGAGTTCCCTGTTCGAGTAGATCACCTTTCTTGCTGATGAATGCATTAAGCATTCGGAACGTTTTCTGCGCCGATAGGACATCTTTTTTAAGACCGAGTAACCAACGAGCCATTGTTTTTAGACCTTCCACTTTGCACCGTGTCTCCTCCGGAAGATCGTCTTCATCACACCAATCCATAGTGGGCACGTCAGATCTGTTGTTGGAGGTCTCCTTCACCAACAGCTCTTTGACTATTTTTCGTGAGATTATATTTTTGATTTGTACATGGAATTTGTCGGGTAAATTGTAGGCAATATGACCCAGACTAACAATTGCCGTACGATAGTGTTCATTTTCTGGGTTTAAGGTGAGCTTAAACGATTCTACAATTTCCGGAAAAATGTCTACGCTTGTATCCACATTTGGATCACTAGTTTGCGTATTAACAAACATACATCGGATTGCGTGCTTTGCTTGTTTCGGTGAACCAGCAACAGCAAATTCTTTGCAAATGGGACCAAGTTCCTTCACTATTTCCAAATGAGACTCGATAATGGGTTTGTATCGTCCAAGATATGTGAAAGCTTTCAGAACGTAAGGTGCAACGTATTCTTCATCAAAATTTAACAACCCTATCATATGGCGCAGAATTTCCTCGTGCTGAAAGTGGGCTGAAAATACGTATGCAAGCACGGTGAGCAGTTTAAGACCGCGCTCTCCAGCTGATTCTGACGGTAAGCTGACCTCATCAATGACTTCTGAACCGTTCATACATTCTTGAATGAGTTCAATCAGAATTCCAATGGATTGTTTGTCTACCATAACTGAAGCGATTCGTTCCAGCAACATTTTTACCGTATTGTAATACGTGTTAGTCATGATAGGTTGTCCTAGTTTCTTCAACACAATTGCCATTGTATCGGCACATTCCTTGCAAGTGACATCTCGTTTCAAAATAATTTCCATTTCGGAGATCAGTTTAGGATCTTTACGCATTTGAGCGCTGAACTTGAGCAAAAACTCTTGAGCTTTGATCGGTTCCGGAAGTTGTTTAGCGATATTGGCGCATTTTGCATTCATATCTTTCTGAATGTTGAGTGTGATCTCTTTGATTCGATGCAGTTTAATCCACTCAGCAACGCTGCGACGCACTTTTAGTTGGTTTTTCTGTAGCTCGATGAATGCCTTCGTCGCGTTTTCATCTATTGTTCCCAACAATTGATATAATTTCTTCATTCGATCCTCTGCAGGAAGTTGATATGGTACCAAACAAGTGATCAGAAGACGCTCTACAAGCAACCGATCTTCGATACCAGTCATATAATATCCATGCAAAATTTTATCCTTTATCCAATTCACCGCCTTTTTGGTTGCTTCCGGAACATTACTGTCACTCAAATATTTTTTGTAGATCATTGCTAGCCCATTCATCGCTTCCTTACGGATTTTGTACTTTTTATCCAACGTTCGTTCTTTTACAAACTCTAGCAGATCCTCCGACTCGGATACAATCTGAAAATCTCGTTTCGCTGTTTCAACTATGGCCATTACTACCTCGTAGCGGACCGTTTCGTCAGAATCGTGTTGACGTACCTAAAATAGAAATCGCCTTGTATTACATTCATTTTAGCTTCATAACGCAATAATCTATACCTTCAAAATATCAATTATGTCCTTTCTGAGATGTGGGTGATTCAATAGGAAATGCATCGTACTTTGAACACATTTAATTCGAATAGGAACAGCAATGTCGTAGAATCTACCGAGAAACTGTCGCCATAGTGGACCGTATTGTTTGGCCAATGAAGAATCTTTTTCCGAGAACATTCTTGCCAGTAGAGAAACGGCTTTCAATCGTTCGTTCTCCTGTGCGGACTTGAGCTTACATTCTAGCTGAGGAAGGACCGAGAGGAGTATGCTAGGACTGATCACATTCAACTCGTAGATGACATCATAGATTTTTGACATTATCTGGTACTGCTTTTCGTACTTGTCTAGAATGAGAATTTGATTGAAAAATGCCTGCGTGTATGATTCTAACGTGTCACTCGTTTTCACGATCAAGTCTTTGGCCAAATGGTAAGCATTTTTCCTCTGCGTGCGCAATGGTTCCACAATGTTGATGAATATTAAATCCAGCAAATCGTACGATACGGAATCCGATTCTGTGATCAGTGGACAAAGTACGTCCAGCATAAATGATTTCACTTTGCTGCTGTGCTCGTCACTGAAATAGACAAAACATAACATTAATAATTGTTCCTTCTAGCTACACCCCAAACTATCATACTTGACAATTTTAAACATCAAGCTAAACAAGGTGCAAAAAATTTCCTGGCAGTCTTCAAGCTCGAAGCACATGTTGAAAGACTTAACGTAGGCTAAGTTCTCCAGCAAATAAAAGTATCGCTTGAATGCAGGGTCCTTCGGGTCTTTCAAACCATTCAATTGCTTGATCAAGAATAAGAAAATTCCTTTTATCTGATCTTGATCCTTATACGGAGCTTCGGGTGCGTATACACGTAATACGTCGGCAATGCAGCAAGCAATCAGCAATTGTACATCCCTGGACGGATGCTGCAGGAAATTATCATCTGCCAAATGTACCGCCAATGGAATGTACTGAGTGTACATGCCCTCGTCCTGACCCATGGCCTGCAGTGTGTGTGTTAACGTTTTCAGTCGCCGGATCAACTCATCCGGTCCGAGATCTTCGTTTATAGGTCGACATCCGGGTGGGTATACAATATCAGCCATAATGGTTCACCACCTACTAGCACTTCTAGATGATTGGTAGAATGTCCTCTCTGGTTCGCCTAGTATATAATACTACGTACAGGGTACGAATCACAAAAAAAACATTATTGTTGCTACCTTTTTACAGAAAAACGAAGACTAGTGTATTAGGGGCGATAGAAACAAGCAAACCATAGAGAATAGGTGAGGAAAGAATCGAAAAAAAAAACTCCAATGGCCACTGAGTAAGTAAGCGTTCTGCAAAACAGACTCTTTTTTAAGCATTAAAATTTCACCTCAAGAAACCGAGAAATTACCTTCTTTTTGTACCATTCGCTTCAACACGAAGCACAATAGAACTTATAATCAATTATGATTATTAAACACTCTTAAGTTACAACTTTTGGGGTGATAAATTTCCCGTTTGCGATATTTTTGCTTCCTTCAAGCGCACACAACAGAGGACAGCCAAAATTACTTGCTGTGGCAAGTTTTTCTCCTCTCGGTGAGGGATGCACCGATGGTGATAATTAAAAAACGAATCGAAAACATTAATTTAAATTTTCATTACCTCATTTGAATGCCGTTTAACGTTTGACATTTATTGCAAATGAAACCAGTTTTCATACTCAGTTGGTATACTTTTTCTGATATACAGTCAGGCTATTTTCATCAATTAATATCATTTGTTTTCTGAATGAATGTATAGCTACCGATTATCTTAATACTTAGCGATACACTCACCAACCCCTCGACACGAAGTGAACTACAAAGCAAAGAAGGTAAAAATCTCCCGGCATCTGCAGTTGGTAACTCTGCATGGTGGAAAACATATTTTGACGGACATATACAGTTCGACCTGCGTTGTGTAAATCATATTATTTTTGAGAAAACACTGGCATATCGGTCAGTTACACAGATACAATACACGCTATTTCAAAACTACCCAAATTTGGGTAGAATCCGCCCAGATCGGTCAAAACTGAACCTACCCAAAAATGGGTAAACTGTGTTGGCAGTGACAAGTTGACAAATGAACAACGTCGATCAGATTCATGTCAATGTTGTTCATTTGACAACTTGTCACTGCCAAAACAGTTTACCCATTTTTGGGTAGGTTCAGTTTTGACCGATCTGGGTGGATTCTACCCAAATTTGGGTAGTTTTTAAATAGCGTGTAAAACACAACATTTCAAAAGTTCAATAAAACTTAAGCCGAGACTTATACCAACAATCAATACGAAACTAACGATTTTAAATTGGCTCACCACTTTAGTAGCCTATTGGTCCCAAGCAAACGATTAACGTACCCTATTCTAGTTGAAATTCTATTACTACACTATGTTTGTTTTGATTCGCTATGAAAGTTTGACAGATAACATCAGGGGTGTGTGGATTCATTCAGAACATGCAGGGGTGAGTGAAATAGCTTGGGACTGCTTGGGACCGTTGTTCTGGTACTGAGTGAGCCAAAAATAATAATGATTTTCTTCGGGACCCAGTGGTCTTAGAGTTACCTCTATGCTTATACCCTGGACAGACTATGGCTCATATCATGTAATATAAGCTGTCTTGCAATGAGCACTCATACATCTAGTTTTCGCTGGAAATCCTATGTATGAGTGCTCATTGCAAGACAGCCTATATTACATGATATAAGCCATAGTCTGTCCAGGGTATTACACAGCAAAAAAAAAATGTAATATCGATCAACGTAATTCTAGCTGAAGTATGAAATAATGATGTAATAGCAAAAAGCAGATACAATATTACATCAATGGATGTAATTTTGTTCGCAAAATCGATGTACATCGTACACCGTTATATTACACAAACGATGGATTGACCTGGTTGCAGCAATTTGGATGTAATATTCAACAACTTTTTTTTTATGTTTGTTCCATTTTGTGATTTTTCACTTAAATTTGACAGATGTAAAATTTTCAAATAAACCTACTATTCCAGCAGAATTATTTCTGACAGACAAGGAATCAACTTTGACAGACGCTCTTTTGAAAATCGGCCGATAAACAACAGAGGGCGAACATCTTAATTTATTTTCGAAGTGCCAAATTTAATAGAAAAATTTCCAAATGGAACACAGCCTTAAGCTCTGCTCTCGGATCTGCTAGCCCGTAAAAAAAAAATCCAATAAAAATACAATGATTTTCATTGTCATTGTAACCATGTTATTTACTGTCACAATATTGGACATTTTTGTCCATTACCATAAAATCACAGCGAAATTCAAGGTTCACAACAATGAAAATCATAGTATTTGAAAAATTTACAGTAAAAAAGGGGGGTTGTTACGAGGTTGTTAAACATCTTAACAATATAAAAAAGTGATTTTTCTCGTACAAATTTGATCTCATCACACTAATTTTCGTTGTTTGAGCATTCCCACATAAATAATAACTATAAGAAGCGCCTAACCACCAATTCGGGATATCATCCCAACTTTATGTGGGATAGGCGTACCATCTGTGATATCGTTAGAGTATGGTACCCGTTTATTAGGGTGGTATCGTTAAAAATCGAAATCTATTTTTCCTCCCGTACAATAATTTAACAATAAATTTTAATGTTCTCGAAATTCAACAGTAAAAATCATTGTAATTTCGTTGTTTTATTATATTTTTTTTTTTCGGGAGTCCTTCTCCGATTACCAAGAATTTTTGCATAATTGTTTGTTATTGGCACTGATTTACATTTTTGCAAAAAAATTGTCATTTTGGATCTTATAAAATTTTCAAATAAGCTATTTTACGTGACGTCTTGATGACAGTTCCTGGCGGGCCACTCGAACGAACTCGAGGCATTGTTATTGTTTACCTCTGATGGTTTTGTTTTGATTTTGGTCGTGGTATGTCAACAAATCGGCCCGCTGGTAAACGTCAAAATAGGTAAACAGAAAAAAACAGCTGATTCGAAACGTCTCGTAAAATGCCTTATGGCATCTTTGAAATTTTCCAGAAAAATGTTGCGCGAAAGTGGCACTTCTGATCAAAATGACACCTGAGACAAAGATGCTCACAGAAAAAAAATGTTGAATATTACATCCAAACTGCTGCAACCAGGTCAATCCATCGGTTGTGTAATATAACGTTGTACGATGTACATCGATTTTGCGAACAAAATTACATCCATTGATGTATATTGTACCTGCTTTTTGCTATTACATCGTTATTTCATACATCAGCTTGAATTACATTGATCGATATTACATATTTTTTGCTGTATAGACAAAACTAATGTTTTTATATTTTACGATCATTTCCTTATCTGTATATATAATAATTACACACTATTTCAAAACTACCCAAATTTAGAATCCATCCAGAGTGGTCAAAACGGAGATGAAAATAGTCATAGGCTAAAAATCTCCTTAATAAAGAATTAAAAAAAAAAGAATGGTCAAAACTGAACCTATCCAAAAATGGGTAAACTATGTTGGGAGTGACAAGTTGACAAATGGACAACATCATCATGAATCCAGCCGGCGCCGGTGGTGTAGTGGTAAGCGTGACTGCTTTCTAACACCCCGATGGGTCTGGGTTCAATCCCAGCCGAGGTCGGTGGGATTTTTCTGAGGCATAAAAATCTCTGGTCACGTCTTCCTTCGGAAGGGAAGTAAAGCCGTTGGTCCTGGCCCATGTGTGTTGAATGGGTGCGATATCCTACGCAGGTGTGGAAACTGCCTTCCTGCACATTCGATTGCCGTCAATGGGTGGCAATCGATGTCCGTCGGTGATTGGCACTAGATTGCGGAACAGAGACCGACGTTAAATAAAGGAAAGAAAAAAAATCATCATGAATTCGATCGACTTTGTTCTTTTGTGAACTACACGGTAATTCTAGAATACTCCTTTTATGACTATGTTTTACACATTTTCGAGAATACGGTTTATACGTCAAAAAATGTTTAGATTTTAGTTACAAATGAAGAGTACTTTTTATGCATTTCCGAGTGTGTCAACGACGAACAAAAATGTGTAAAAAGTAGTCCCCGCTGAGAAAAGAAAATTTATGCCGCGACGTGCCGCCATTTTCAAAACAGCGTTCATTGGAAAAGCAGCGTTTTATCAACAGTTTTATTCAGTTCCCGGTCCCGGATTATTTCTGCGGTGGGTCAGTGGAAAATGGAGGAATTGTCCACTTTGGAACAGGACGTATTCACGACACTGGCAGGTAATTAAAGCATTTACTTTTATTGTTAGCCAAATAAATTTTTTTAACCTAATAAAAAAGGACATCGAGTATTCATTACGTGTTAAATTAAATTTTCATCTAAATGTAGATCATGTCCGTGGATGCCTCCGAATCATGGGACAACTCAGTGCTAACATTTGAAAACGGCACAAAAGCCATTTGTAAACAAATGGTTTGTGGGCCCTTTACTCACTACTTTAAGTACACCCACGCGACACAACAGCAACATCGGGTAGGGGAAATTTTCCCCTTCCTGACGATGCTGTTGGTTTGCGTGGGCGTTCTTCGGGTAGCGAGTAAAGGGCCCACAAACCATTTGTTTACAAATGGCTTTTGCGCCGTTTTCAAATGTTAGCACTGAACTGTCCAGAAAAGGCGTTAAAAAACCGCCAAATGTGATGCCATTGGGAGTCGAGGAGGAGTTGGCAGCACCGCTGATTCGATCGATTGGTGTAAGTGTTTTGACGATTGATGCGAATAAAATCTAGAAAGGATTTATTCCATTTAATTACATAAATGAATATTACTGTTAAAATTCTTATGCATTTTCATTCAATATTTGAAACGAACTTGAAATACAAAATTTGTTTTATCGTAGGTATATATTTTTTTTCAATGTTAAAACTATGCATTTAACATGTGGGAGTATAAATTACGCATTTATACTTTGTTTGGGGGTGTCAAAAGTACGCATTTTTAAGTTTACTATGTGGTGTAAAAAGTATGCAGATTCTGACGTACATTAAATTTACGCAAAAGAGAGTAAAAACAGTACACAGAAATTCAAAACAACCCAAAATTAAGTTCTTTTCACTCATCTCCCATGTTCCGTACGATAAGCCAAATTTGGGTAAACCGGCTCAAAGTAGTTTGCATTTAAGCACGGCAAAAAAAATTACCCATCGCTAAGTTATTTTCAATTTTTTCTACCCAAAATTAAGTTCAATTAACTCAAATTTGGGTATATCGCATATTACTCAATTTTGGCTTCTCGTACGGAACTAGACGGTTGAGTCGAATCTTTCGTTCTATTTTTGACAACAATAGTGAGAGGAAATGAAACGGACAGAGGTCAAATAACTCAAATTTGAGTTTAAAAAACCCAAGCGGTGGGTAGTTTTGTTTTTCTGTGTATACTTCTTTATTGGTTAGTCCCATTTTCCAAAGAAAGAGCGTACTTCATCACAGAAATTCAAAACGACCCAAAATTAAGTTCTTTTCACTCATATCCCATGTTCCGTAC